TTAAGTGTTCTATAATAAATATTCTTAATTTTATTCTTAAAAATAAAGAATAGTAAAGAATAAATGTACTCTCGTGCAACACCTTGCCTAAAAACAAAAAGTCTTTACAACCAGTAACCACACTATTTACATAAAATAATATACTTTTCTTTGTAATGTTTACAAATGCTAACACGATCCATTTGGCGTTTGTACAGAAAAATGAAATATTTTTATGAATTATTAAGTCAAAGGAAAAATTGTCGGAGATTTTCTTAAAATATTGAGATCTCAAATGGGAAGGTAGTGGCCAAGAAATTATTGTATCGGGAATGTCCAACAAAAAGGGTCTCCGGTTGGTCCAAAAAGGGTCTCCGGTTGGTCCAAAAAGGGTTTCCGGTTGGTCCAAAAAAGGGTCTCCGGGTGGTCCAAAAAGGGTTTCCGGTTGGTCCAAAAAAGGGTCTCCGATTGGTCCAATAAAGGGTCTCCGGTTGGTCCAAAAAAGGGTTTCCGGTTGGTCCAAAAAAGGGTCTCCGGTTGGTCCAAAAAAGGGTTTCCGGTTGGTCCAAAAAGGGTCTCTGATTGGTCCAAAATGTTACAAAGTTATTAAAAATGACGTCCAAGTTTAGTCTGGAATATAACATCGTTTAATGCGTGTGATGCTTTTACTTAACAATCGTAATTATTTCGATCTTGGGTTGCTATACAATAAAAGGAAATTAAAAGCATATATATATAAGATTTATTTGATCGTCATTTTTCTCATAACAATTACCTTGTCTTTAAATATTAATTTAATGGTGTGGATTTACAAAGTGTACCCCATCATATTGAATTATCTCCAAGCTTTTATGGAAAAAATCGTACCTAATATTCAAACAATCCTGTTTATTCTGCAATAAGATTTTTTTTCCATATTAGCCTTTTACAGTTTTTCAAGAATGTTTTTAAAGTTTTTCAAAAATGTTTATGAGTTGTTCCACAAAGTCCCAGAGGAGAAAATAAAACTTATAACTTTTGGGGTTTACGTCATGTTTATTCTTACATATATTTTGAGTATAAAGAAAGAAGTATTCTTTGCGTTTCAGCGAATTATTGTTTTTTCAAAAATATTTCCATATGTTAAATATTCTTGAGGTTTGAATACGTAAGCTCCAACATTGGAAATGGACTTTGACTCAAACTTAATAAACTATAATTAATGCTGTCTTGCAAACTTTTATATATTTTGTTAAAAAGATTATTGCTATTTTGCAATTAGAGCAATTTAACATATATAAAAAGATATCTAAAATGGTTCTATTACGAGATTGACATTTGACATGGAACACGTGATACTCCTACAGTTCATTAAACAATTTTATTTCAAGTAAAGAGTGATCAACAATTAATTAGCGACTTACATATTGCTTTTTATAATCTATTGTAAATTGATGACAACGCTCGTATAAAAAAGCTTACACTCTAAACAGTAAAGGAGCCGATTCGAAATCAAAATTCCCATGCGGAAATTGGTTTTTGTAAGTATTAAAGAAAAAATTTACTAACACAAGCTATACATCTTTAGATACAAATATCATCGCTTTGAAACATCTTTTGGCGTTGGGACATTTCATAGATATGACATTTCATAGATAGGACATTTCTTAGATATGACATTTCATAGATAGGACATTTCATAGATAAAGACATTTCATAGATAGGACATTTCATAGATAGGAAATTTCATATTTAAGACACTTCATAGTCAGAGAAGATTTTCCATAGACAGAGGATATTTTTTTACAAATGATATTTTTTTCATTTCATTTAATCTTCATATTTTCCTCTGTCTATGTCAGAGAAACAATTAAGAAGTTGTAGTTTTTCCAATTTTGTTTTGCGGATTTTTAACAATTCACTCGAGCAATTTCATTCAACAAAAGCATTATTTGTAAAAAACTTTTATTCACAGAAGAAAAAGTTGAATGTTAAGTTCTTAAAAAAATGAATAAAGTAATCTTCATGTAATGCTTTTTTAATTGATTAGTTGTAGCAATGTATATGGGGAGCACTGTATTTAGATGCATTTTTCCTTGTCTATGAAAAATCGAAGAAAACAAAATTTCGTAAAAAAAATCTCATCTTCATTGGAAAATCTTCTCTTTATATGAAATGACTTATCTATGAAATGTCACATCTATGAATGCAGTAAACGCCTACTCCATAAAAATTTCTCGAACATGTATCTATCCAGGTACAACTCAGATTCTCTTGACTATCAATGTCAACACACGGCTACAATCCAATGAACTTTCAACGCCACTACTACTGGGCGCAATCTTGTTAGCTATCAGTGTCAATACGGACACTAGAAATCAATTGATCAATGCGTCAACTAGAACATGATCCACACGGCTACAATCCCGTGAACTATCAACGCCACTACCATGCTGGGCCCGATCTCGTTAGCTATCGGTGTCAATACAGACACTAGCAATCAATTGATCAAGACAAAACTCAAGGCAACAATCTCAATTCATATGTTTCAACGAAACCAAATTACTCTAATCACTGTAATCAAAGTGGAGTTTCAATATAAACTAAGGTATATTTCTTAAGTTTAGATAAGAATTGCAGGGTCCTTAACAGCGTAATTATGTAAGTAAGTTATGTGCTGTTATATATAACGTAGTTAAGCAATCACAATATGGGTATGACAGAGTTATATATATCTACGTACATTAAATGAGTTAAACGCGATACATGATTTACGTTTTTACATATAATGGACACATATAGCTATATGGACAATGTACAACATAATTTACTATGGGCATCTATATTTGCTACATGAAATTTCCTACTATGAAATCTCTTATCCATTAAATGTCTGTCTATGAAATGTATTTCTATGAAATAAATTAAATGTCCCATCTAAGAAATGTTTTTTTTTATAAATTGTCCCAACGCGCGTTTTTTTGTTTTTCTAGTGACATTTTTGATTTTTTCGCATAAAGTCATCTTTGCATGGTAATTTTAATTTTTTTTAAGTTGACGATTGATAAGATTGACGATACCCACCCAATACCAGTTGACAATATTGAGATTTCGAAAAAATGTAAAAAATCTGCCCCCGTTATTACACAGACACAACTTACACATCAGCTTTGTCATTTTAAGTTTTGATTGTTTTCAAGCTTTTTCTCGAATTACAAGTTTACAAGTTATCAAAGAGAAGCTTTTTTATAATTGAAAGCTTCTTTTGTATTCTTTGTTTATGTGTATCCACTATCCATGCTGTTTAAGAGCTTGATTTAAATCAAAATAAAAATCGAAAGTCGTCTTTATTGTATTGATATAATCGCCTACCATTGTATCACAGAGACACCCTAAATTTGGTATAAACCATATTATCCGTATGTACTGTTTAATATGCTTATCACGTGAAAATCATAAAAAGACAATTAGAGAAACTACTAAAGTGAAACCCTTAATAACGAATACATCGAAAGAATTCATCAAATGTCGTATTCTTCACCTTCTGATTATGGAATGTTGCAGATATTCAGTTTTTTAATTAAATGATCATATGGAGCTCTTTAAAACTGTTCCCACATATTCATGGCTATTTATTTATTTTCACAAATACTGAAATTTACGTAATATAGTATAAAACTCATTGAAAAATTGTCAAGACGACATTTGATAAATTCTTCCGATGTATTCCTTATTAAGGTCTAAGATGAACGTGGTTGAAATATCCTTTATATAAAAACCAGCTTTGCCTCCTACCAACCGGAACGATAAATACATGCAATGAGTCCAATTTTGTATAGATTATACTTGAATCCATGGTCGGTATACTGCATGCTTCATGCACAGACCATAGATTAATAAAATACAAGTTATTAAGGTTATATTTACTAATATACAAGAATAGAAAGTGTTCTGATATACTGATAATTCATTACCGTAACCACGAACTGCCTAATTAGTCAAATGCAAAAGAAACCGAAATTTAATTTTTGATTCTATTCACATAATAAACTTTCTGTGATAAGATGTGCGATAAGGTCGTCTTACTTATAATTCAATTTTTGATTCTTTTCACATAACAAACTTAAGGTTAAGATACATAGTTTTGAAATCTGTCATGTATGATTTTCATCTTTTGATGCTCTAATAGTTTTCTAAGTAATTTTACTCCTCTTTTGATTTAAATTAACCATTTAAGTTTCAAATTACAGGAAATAATCAGGAATTGTAAATTTACATATTTTTGGCATCACAATCACTGCTATGCCTTTATTTCCTGATGCTGATTATTATAACGATATATTTCTAAAAATGTTCAATTGCAAAATCTAGAATCCTTAGCGACATTCTTTAATCAAATGAAAAAAGACGACCAGAATTCCAATGTTCTCTGGTTCCCACTGGTTCATTAAGTAAAAACCAATCAGAAATGCCTTAAAAACGTTACCCGCCCTTTTAGCTCTCTTAAACTAGACAAAAAAAACTAATTTGGTAGTTTTTAAACCATACTTTAACGCGTTAAGAATCAAAAAAAGTATTGTAGTTACCCTATAAGAATAGGACTTCAAAGAAGACACGAAATAGGATTTGACACTAAGGTCAAATTTGGTCTTTTATTGTTTTACTAGAAGATTCAGTTAAGAATAAACAAGCTGTTGCAGAAAAAAAACTTAAGATACAACCCTGAACATTTTTCGCTCAGACGTTTCCGATGTTTCATCCTTTGTGGGTAACCCTGTATATTATAAAGTATATCTGCAGAACGAAACAATTAAACCTGTCCGGTCTAGTTCCTCTAACAGTATCATCGGATTGAATGATTAGGAAGAACTGTGAGAGGACAATGACAAGTCTTTCTACGTTTAATATCTTTATTTAAAAAGCGTTTTTTATTTTTTCGGCAGGGCAGAATGATAAAAGTAATAAAAAATAACAATAAGAATAAAGATAATTTGATGAAAATATACTATTAACAATAACAACAATAATAATATTCCAGAAGAATGTAGAGAGATGGGAACCCATTTTTCTAAACGAGTTGGAGGAGGAGGAGGAGGGCATCACAATGGAGTTTTATCGGGACACGAAATTATGGCATATGCCTTTTTATCAGGAACTCAGGTAACGCAGACAACTTACATTATTTTAAATATTTTCATTATTTTACTGTGACCAGAGAACCATTTTTTTAAGATAACAACGAAAATTGTAATATTGCCAAAGGTCCTCATTTTCATAACCAGGGTAGGAGGGCATCGGGAAATCATAGATTACTAACTTCCGAATAAAATGTACACAAACATTTTAGTTTTTTACTGATTTAGATAACCGGGAGTCGGGACCAGTTCTTAATTAATTTTTGATCCATAATTTTGTGAAATTTCCATTTTTTTATGGTTTTTGTTTGTAGAGGCCAATTTACATCATAAAAACCAACCACTTTTGTGTTAAAAATGAAAATAAATTGCGATTGTCAAACATTTTTTATCAATTTTTATTTTCAATTTTACAAAAGAAATAATTAGCAATGAACACACAGTACAAGAGTAAAGATAAATGAAAATGGTGCCTATTGTTTTATTTGTTAAAGAAAAAAAAAGCATTTTTTTCCTAGTGTCGACCACAGCGGAAACTTACCATAAAGCTTGAACCCAGTGTTAGACATGACAATAAATCAGTTCATGTACCCTCACTTTCCCGTTCTCCCTCACCACTGAGCTACAGAAGGAATCAAGGTAGGGACATATGTATATTACATTGCACTACAATACAGTGGTCCCCATAAACCCTGGTAATTTAGGTTTTGACAGCTTTGGAAGCCCAGTAGGATAACCCGGAGTGTAGACTNATACAATTTTTACCAATTCATTTTTCAGTTCTTGTATATTATTTTACTTCGTTTTAAATAAAAATAATAAAAATATTGCGACTTTTTATATTAGATATTTCGAATCAAATCTGAAAATTGTATTATTAAAAAAGAAAATAATAAAGTTCTTAACTGTAATTTCACCCTTGAACATAATAGACAGGAAAACTTTTCACTTTTTAGTTTTCATTGTTCAGGGGTTTCGAGATACCAAGAAAAGTATAATACAGAAAATATTTCTGAAGAAGAGAGTTCTAGCAGTTCAGGTAAAATAAAGGGATATTTCAAATATTTTGAAAATTGCTTTCATACAAGCTTTTAAGCAAAGAAGTTTACCATTAAAAAACATTTTTTTTTGGGGTTGGGGGGTGGGGTTGGGGTGGATTTTAAGATAAAAATATTTTACTAAATGATGAATGTTTGATTTACAACTTTTAGTCTCAAATTATGACATAAAATAGTCCAATGAAGATCTGACACAAGAACAGACCCAATTTCACTTAATAATTGATAAGTAAAACTAACTCATTTGTAACATCAAATAGACTTAATTATTGCTTAGATGTCGTCTTCCTATTCCACAGTTTTCTGGCTCTCATTGTATTATGTAAGATTGTCGCTCAAAGGCCACAAGTTGGAGTTTATGAATAGCCCCAGTATTTATGACCTTTTTATAACTCTAATCTCAAATTTTTATCTTAAAAAGTTTTCATTTAAAAATGAGATAGTTTTCAAAGATAGTAACAGGTATTCAAAGTAATAGTTATCAAAGATATTTTTTGTTATAATCTATTTTTTAGACTGCTCTGGGAAAACAGAAACTGATGGGCCGTCCAGTAACATTGAAATAGATTTCAGTATAGAGGTACAAGGGGGTTCAAATATGTCTAAAACAATGAAATCTTAGTTTTTTTTACAAAAAAAGCTTAGTAAGCATGATTTTTAAAATAAGAAAACCACACTTTGAACGGTATCATACAAATAGATATATTGCTTGTTCATCTGTCCATCAACTTTCTGTTTGTGTCTAATAAACGTCAAAACGGCTACCATGATCAGGCCATTTTCACCCTATGGGACGGTTTTTGAATGTCAAAATTGACAAACTGCCTTGAAAAATTGTCTGCATTTTTTTAAATTCACAAATTTAAACAGAAAAGTCCGCTATTTTTGTTTGCTTATTTCAGAGTTCAATGAAAAATGATGAAAAATAACAGTTAAAAGCAAAAATCGTTACTATAGAAAAGAGACGCGAAAGCCCTAGTAAAAGCATAGTTTATTATCTATATAATAAAGCTCTTCGCGCATATATATATATATATATGTTTACATGGTCGCTATTGCTGGCCAAACGGATGAACCAAATTGCTTGAAATTTTTGAGGAAACCCAAAGTACCCCAGGGGTGACAGAGGCTAGAATAAATTAGAAAATTTTGGAAATTCCACGGGCAATCACCGGTCACTTTATCATGATGTAATACGACGCGCGGAGAAACGGCGGAAGTAACAATGACTATGAATAATAATAAAAATCTGGGCAACGCTGGGGACACCAGCTAGTAATAATATAAACCTGGAGAACGACGAGAGCTCCAACTAGTAAGTCGTAAGATACTATAGGAACAAAAACACAAAATCGAGCTGTGCTCAACACTTTTACAGCTCTTGCGTGCATTAATTATCATACATTTTTGTGCTGGATTGGAGTTTATAAATTAATTTTTTTATTTTTATTTTTGACCATGTTTTAAATTTTCAGGCGGAAAGTGAACTTGAATCTGATAGTGGAATATCAATCAACCTCAGCCATTTCGATACAGATCTTGCCTCTCAGGTACTTTTTTATCAATCAAGGATCAGCCATTTTTTAGAGATTATTTTATCAAACTTTTTAAGTGTTTTTAAAAAAAATAAATTCATATAAAAATTTAAATTATTATTATTGTTAAAGATTTATTCACGCACATTAATATACTTACATATTACATATTATATATATATATTAATGGTGTTGTTTAAATTTGTTTTGTTTAAATATAGGAATGATATAAGAAGTATTCACCTCATATTCTCTAATTTCATAAACCCTCTAATTCAAAGAAATCCAGTCGGGCTTTTGATAATTAAATATTTTCAGGAATAAATACGTTGCCATGCACGTAAATATGTCGATTGAGAAGAAAATATCAAATTTTAGTAAGAATAAAAACGTGAGCAGTATTTAGAACAAGTCAATTTATAATTGAAACACATTCAAACCGCATATAGAAATTTATAGCATATCAAAGGGTTTAAATCTTAATGTTTTTATTCCCACTAATTAAACCCATTCCCGATGTTGCAACTTGCAAATTTCGCACTCATCAAAGGGTCTAATCCAATTCTTGTCATTAGTAGATTTTTAACATCTGCAATAAACTAATGATGTAATTCAATTCTCGTTGCTTCTAGTAGAATCTTGACATCTACATTGATCAAAGGGTGTACACCCATTATTGTCTGGAAATAAAAGTATATTTGTGATATATATTCTTACAAAATTTATCATATAAAATATAAGAAATTTAAAAGAAAACTTAAAAGCCATTATAACATAATTTGGCAATAACATTGTTGCTTATTTTATAAAATGTTAAAGGCCCGCCGCGGCGAGGATCGAGCTTTCCCAGTTTTACATATACCCCCTCCTCCTCCAGTCACACCTCCTCCTACAGATTTACAAACAGCTCTCAGGTATTATTCACAATTGAACAAACAAAAAAAGCCATGTAAAAAAAGGTTAAAAATTGTATACATAAGCACCCTGTAAAATTATGTCAAAATGTTGAAAATAAAATGAAATGATTAAAACATCCAATAAACTTTAAACGAGAAATAATAAAAAATAAGCATAGGCAAGATCCCAAAGATGTTTGAGCTTTTACTTGATATATATTTAGTTTTCTACTTTCAAAAATATATGGTGAAATGTGCATTATGAAATGGGTAAATATAATCTCTTTAAACAAAACCTTATGTCTGTTGCAGGGTACATTTCCAAGATGAGTTCTGTGAGTGGTATGAACCTGGAGGGAAGAAGACAAGAGGACACAACAGGTTCACTTTACAGTTTATGGTAGACTCAGATGTTTCAGAGAAAAAAAAATTGAAACATATAGTTAAACATCTAGCTTTGCACTCTCAACTAAAGCCAACTATTTCTTCGTCAGAGTAATGCAAATTACTGCAGAACATACCAAAGGCTTAGTTGAGGGTGTTTGTAGTGTTATTAAGTAGATTTCGTAAATTCTTGTAAATGTTAAAAACTTACCATCGAGTGTTCCCTTTTAATATTTTATTCACAAAGTCATGCTTACATTGAGAGCCGGAACAGAATCTGTTATTTTTTTTAACGTCTTCTTCATTGTTAAGCACTTGCAATAGGTTAATATATGACATTATGTTTTTTACAGTAAATGTCCATTTAAATGTAAATTGCTTATTTAAACCTGCTGTAGTCTGCTTAAAAAAGGATTTTTTATAAAAAAAAAACAAATAATTTTAGAAGAAAGAGTAGTACAAGAAGCCTGCACCAAAAGCTTGTAGTTTCTAAAAATAATATTAGAAAAGCTACAAAGTTAGATATGGATGACAGGGCTAAAATGCTTCAATATTTTACTAGGTAATATACTTCTTTTTTATAGTATATTTTAGTTCTTATGAGTATTTTTAGATGTATTTTGAAAAGAGATTTTTTTCTAAAAATTTTCAGCCATTCAATAATTTCAAAATGTTTTAAACTAATTTTTAATTAATCATAATTAAATCGCAAATCTATTGGCACTGTTTTTTCTCTTACATTCAGAGATTTTTAAATAAACGGTCCTTTACAAACTCTGAAGGCAGAGAGGGACTAATTTTCTAAGATCAGGAAATATGTCATCTACAATACAGAAAACATATTCTTTTAAAACCCTTAAATGTAATATTTCGTGACATAAAGTTTATTTAAGTTGTTTTCTGAAAACGATAGTTTACAAAATTCTGACAAGAAATTTATTTAATAAATATAATTACAAAACAACTTACTCCGTTTTTGTTGTAATTTCCAATCAACTCATAGATGTTGAAAATAAAAAAGTAAAGAAAAGTAAATAATTTAGAACCAACGAAGAACATGGAGCTATACAGATTGAGGAACTTTTCCAGAATAGCTGGAGAATACCTATGTATGGACAGAGGTAAGAAAGTAATGAAAATATTTTGTTTCCTAAAATATGCAGTCTTTAATTGCTAGTTCTCAGATTATTTTTTACTTTTTCATCCTATCAGAGATTATATTATATTCCAGGTTACCGACAGTTATCACAGTTCAGGCTCCAGCTGGGATAGGAAAAAGTTCAATGCTCAAATACATGTGTCTCAAATGGAGCAATCGGTACAGTTTTATTTTAAATAAATTATGTTTTTTAAATCAGTCAGGGTAAAGAATAAGTAACGGCAGAGTCGATAAAGAATGTTTAAGTTAAAAGGTTATAATAGATTTTAAAAAATGAATACAATGTTCAAAAAGGTATTTTTTTCTCCAATTACTGTTTAATCCAACTTTTAAACTTGTTTCTGTCTCCACACTGTATAATTTACTCAACCCCTAACTGTATATAATATCTGTACAGCAAACTATTTATACAATTCATCTCTAGTTCTATGAAATGTCATTTTTCCTAACTGTAAATATATCTTTATCCCTACGTACGTTTATATATATCTCCCTAATTGAGAGTAATATTACAACTTTTACATTTTTTGACATTTTTATTTTTTATTTTTTATAATTACTTGTTTAGGGAACTATGGCTTGAAAATTTTGATTTTCTCATCTTTATTGAATGCAGGTAATGATTATAGATTAAAATTTGTTGAAAAAAGTTACATTGATCCTCCGCTAGTCAATGAGATTAATTTTCGCCTACTTCCAAATCAACATACAAACAAATTACTTTTGACAGTTTAATTTCATTATAAGCATATTTTTTAAAACACATAACATTTTTTAGAACCTTGAACCATATTGGAAGCATGTCAAGCAAAGAGTTTATTTGTAAACTTCTTCACGAGTCAGCAAAAAAAGCAGATCCATCTATAGACGTTTTCAGGTAATTAGAGAGAAAATGAAAAGTCGGGATTAACAGTTTTTGGGGTAAGGAATNGGGGTGATGTTAGCTTCAAGTACATACTTTGTTCATTCATATTTTGTGTGAGAAATGAAAACTCTTTACCCATATTAAAGTTCTTTTTTTAAGTGTGATGGTAACTATCCGACCATAAATATTTAAATAGCAACAACATAAAATCAAACTAAAATTTATTTTATGGGATCTACATTCTTACTCCAATAGTAGAATCATTTCTCGCTTTCCATAAAATAAACATGAAATATATTTTTTTTAGTGAAATTCTTCATTTTGCTGGAGTTGGTCGTCTTCTTTTTTTACTTGACGGTAAAAAAACTCACAAAGTATTTTCAACTCGTGTTTGTTTTAAGAGGGAAACCGCAGACTTCAAAAAAAATCCGTTTTAGGCCTAGATGAGATTACAGATGTGGCAAACTTGACAAATCTGAATCCAAAATACACAGGTATTAGATCACAGAAATATTATTATATTTCCGTACAGGTAAATTATTGAAGTATTTCTTTAAATACATTTGAAAAATGCTGTAATTGTTTTTATTCTGACTAGTTGACGAAGTTCTCACACCTATTGAGCTAACACAATCAATTCTCTGTGGAAGGTTGGCCCCAGGTATACATTTTGGCGAAGAATAATTTTTAAAGCTAAAGATTTAGTTGACGTAAAACTCTTGAATAGTTAAACTTAAATCAATGTATTTCTAGTGTATAAACACCTGAAGATGAATAAACTTTTCCTTCAACCGTTCTGTACCTTTCGTTCTGAGAGAAACAATTTCAATCCTTCATGTTAACTTATAAGTCGCCAACTGGCGCGAAACAGTTTTCATGGTGCATATCTAAAATATCTTCTTAACTCTTACTTCAAATAAACTGTACTACTAATGTGTAATGTATTGTTGTGTAACAGGTGCCCATGTCATTGTAACTTCGAGACCTCACACGCTAACCTATCTACAGTCTAGCCGTTGGTTTAATACGCTCAATAAGAAGATGTTAGCTCTAGATATTCAAGGACTTTCAGGTTAAAAATTTACATATTATTTGGGATTTTTCCCATATCTTCAGTAATTTTTTTGTTTGTTTGATGCAGTTCTTCAGTAATTTGGCAATGCTTCTATTTAGAATTCACAGTTAAACATATTCATTATTCAGCCATACAAACATGTATAGTCAAACCACATGTTTTCTATCCTCAGCCCTTACCATTGATTCTTTCTTTTGGTTTCTTTTGATAAATAAACAAAAATGATAGAAAATCATGACATGATGTGCCAGAATCCAGAGTAGGGTTTTCACGAAATGACCATATTTATTTGCGTAATTTTCGTGCAAATTTTTTTTTGTTCGCAATATCTTTTTAGATAATTTACACAAAACGTAAATTTTTACGCAAAAAAATTATTTTAAGCCATTTTTAACCAAAATTAAGAGTTTCAGTCAAGTTTCAGCACAGAATCAAACAACTGAAGGTTTATAAAAAGGTTTCATACAAACAAAATTTTGATTATGCTACTTTAAATTGGTTGCTTTAAGTTACAAAAACCTCAAATTGAGGAACACAAATTAATAAAATAGAAATTAGAAAATTGAAAATCGAAAATTGAAAATGCATAATTTTTTTAGATGTCTGAATCTTTATGTTGTGGCAACCTTTGATATTTCAAATGCTGACTACTTCTAGTCAAATGCATTTGATTGAAATATCAAAGGGTTATGCCCACTGATATATAGACAACCCTGAGTTATCAAATTTCTATAGAACCTCAACTTTTAAGTGTGACATATACATTTTAAAAATACTACATGTCTGTTTCTAGACTTAAATTTAAAGGAAAAGTAATCAGTTCTTTTTTTAAGCATTGCAATTATATGCCAAAAATTGCAATCTTATAGATAACTAAAGTTTACAGTTTACACCTTAAATCAATCTTTTAATGAAAATATGTTCCGCAAAATTGCGCAAAACAGAATAACGCAAAAGCAGAAAAGTGCAATTTTGCGCGAAATGAAGTTTGAGAACGAAAGAAAAAAATTTAGTTTTCTTTCGCAAAAATTTTGCGAATGGAACCCCTTTTAACTTTCATCATTCATTTTAATTAAGTTTTACAATATTTTTAAATATTTATATGATATCAGATGAAAATATTTTGAGATTTCTATGTTTCTTGTTCTTAATTTTCTTCTCGTACATACATCTTTCAATCAATTTTACATATTTGACAGCAGATGTAGATATTTTGACTTTTCTATATTCCTTGTTCTTCCTTTCTTTTTTTCTTCTCGTTACAACCTCATACAATCAGTAAATTAAAAGATTTTTTGTTAGATATCCTAGCAGTTTGCCAGCTGCCAGTTTTAGAATTATCTGTATCTCTCTGACCTTGGGGGCACGGGGAGGGGGGTGAGAGCGGTCTGTCCCCTTCTAAGGGCTATACGCAACTGGCGAATGGAAACCCTAATCCAGAGTCGTTCAATTTATTATTCTTGGCCCCCACAAAACATTTGTATTTTTCTTATTAATCTGTAATTTCTATTTTTTTGTAGAAGAGGGAGTTTGTGCATTTATTCACAGCTTTGTCGAGAATAAGATTTCAACAGACGATTTTGAGATACCTTGTACCGAGCTCTGTCCCTGCAGGTATAGCTTTTAATGAACTGGGGATGGAATAGAAACTCAAATTCTAAACAATTCTTAGAGGGTTTTCTTTTTTAATCCACCTTTTTATCCACTTTGGCTAAAGATTAACTAAATTAAAGTTTATCCTTTAAGGGTTCATTGGAATATTATCTGAGATATATAAACAAAAATACCAATTTTTTAATGTCTAACTTCAGCAAAAATATATAAATTTGTGTTTTCAAAATTGGATCTTAACTCTGCAAAAATATTTTTCCACAAAATAGACCAAATTATTTCAGAAGTCTACAGCAGCGAGCACTGTCTGATAGATATATATTCTCGCTTGCCAGTAATCCATTCTATCTGTGGCTTCTTTGTACAATTTTCTACGAAGCAGGTTATTTAATATTTGATTACATTATTTAAACAATTATCTACTAAAGATTGACTTTACTATTTTATTAGCACTAGAGCGTTCGTAAGACTTTAGAAGATTTTTTTAAATATTGAAAAAATTATAGATTTTTCTCTTTCAGAATTTATGATATTTTAACTAATTGAGTCCAGCGGATCTTCGTATATTCTAATTTTATGTATTAAATTGTGTGAACGCCATAGATATACTATGTTAATCAAATATTGAATGTAAACGCCATAGATACACTATGTTACTCAAATATTGAATGTAAACGCCATAGATACACTATGTTACTCAAATATTGAATGTAAACGCCATAGATACACTATGTTACTCAAATATTGAATATATAATGTTTTACAGGTGAGGGTTATGTGCCCCGTACACTAACTCAGCTCTACACATGGGTTATTCTTGTATTCTCAAACCAATGGCATGGAAAGGGAGAGATGAAATTAGATATTGAAACAACAGAATTTCTAAAGGTAAAACAAGTAAATAAATAATGTAAAAAAGTGAAATGCAAAACATATTATTTTCACAGAGGTTCCTCTTTGAGGCTTTATAAGAATTAACTCTATAAGCATTTGTGCAGAAAATTGTCCCCCATGTATATTGAATAACCCTGGTTCAAGTTGAACTGAATTCAAAATTATTCAACTTGCTTTTCTTTTTAAAAAAATATGGAAGCACAAAAATGATAAAAAAAACATCAATGGAACTGAGTCTTTGCCGCAGACTCTGATTTTACTAATTAATCCCTTTATCTCTGTGACCCAATGGCGTAGACCTTAGATATTCCAAAATATGAATTATCTTAGATCAAATAAGATAAGTTTTAAATATCTAAGGTTTACACCATCAGGTAGCAAAGATATAGGGATTAGAAAATTTGACTTTGTGGCAAAGACTCAAATCCTTTACATTAAGATAAATTTCAGAAGCGAGTATTTTTATATATATTGTCCATCTTGTGTTCAGGGGTTCTCTAAGCTCTGTTACAACCTGGTTCAGTTTGGAACTATTAAGATGTCTGCATATCTGGGATCTGGTGGAGACACAATTCATTTTCCTGCTTTAGATATTACCTTGGATAGATCTAGGTAGATAAGTTCAAAATATACATAAAATCAAAAATCTTTATTCATAAATTTGAAATGATCTCCTTTTTTAAAATTATTTTTTTAGAAAGGGGTTTTTAAGATATTCATCAATTCATATGATTTGTTTTAATTTGGTCAATTTGATCTAACAGAATTTACTGTCTGTTGAAAAACTCAGTGTCGCATAACTAGATATAAGGTTTCCAATGGAAATAAAAAATCGTTACGTACAATATAAGCCTTTTTTGCGTTTCTTTGCATACCAAAAGCATTTCTCAAACTGCGATTTCAAAGGAATTGCGCGCAAGCAAGCAATGCGAAAATTGCACAAAGTAATTTCAACGCAAAATTTTAATGTATTGTACAATTTTAGCATAACTAATGCAAAGCATATCTCTCCTTTTTTATTTAATTTGTTAATTCACAATATTTCTTATATGTTTAGGGCGCAAACTTACGGTATGATGGTTGTATCTAAAGACCAGGAGGAAGTTGAATGTGAATTTAGACATCTATCTCTAGCAGAATATCTTTCTGCTATTCATATTCATACTACAGGTACAGAAAGCCCCAATAAAATTAATGTCTTCTAGATCCATGCTTGCAACAACTATTTTTAAAGAAATATATTGCCGTGTAGTTTTGGAAGGCTTGCATGAATGCTACAAGAAAGACACATCAAAAGCCCTGTCTGAAGAGAAAAATAAAATAATATCTAATATGCAACCAAATAATTTCCTAATATACAACCAAATAATTTCTAATATGCAACCAAATAATATATAATATGCAACCAAATAATTTCTAATATGCAACCAAATAATATCTAATATGCAACCAAATAATTTCCTAATATACAACCAAATAATATATAATATGCAACCAAATAATTTCCTAATATGCAACCAAATAATTTCCTAATATACAACCAAATAATATATAATATGCAACCAAATAATTTCCTAGTATTCAACCAAATAATATATAATATGCAACCAAAAAATTTCCTAATATACAACCAAATAATTTCTAATATGCAACCAAATAATTTCCTAATATACAACCAAATAATATATAATATGCAACCAAATAATATATAATATGCAACCAAATAATTTCCTAATATACAGCCAAATAATATATAATATGCACCCAAATAATTTCCTAATATACAACCAAAAAATATATGATATGCAACCAAATAATTTCTAATATGCAACCAATTAATTTCTAATATGCAACCAAATAATATCTAATATGCAACCAAATAATTTCTAATATGCAACCGATTAATTTCTAATATGCAACCAAATAATTTCTAATATGCAACCAAATATCTTGACTAGAGTAGAACAGGGACGTATTTATTTCCATCTAAGTTTTCTAGTTATGTTCTGGTATTAATGGAATAAGATCAAAGATCAACAATTTATAGATATCCAGGCCCGTAGCCAGGATTTGACCAGGGGGGGTGCAACCTGATGCGCTGCAGGCGAAAATTTTTTTTGGGGTTTTTAATGATTTTTTAAAACAATGTTCGGTTTGGTTTTACAGTGGTATATGGTTGTTTTTATTACATTGTCAATGCACACTATAAAGGCTAACCTTTTTAACAAGTGTATTTGAGCTTTTAAGGGAGTACTGCTTAACTAACAGAGTCAAGTAATCATTTATTACTTTGACTTTGCAATATGAAAATGATATGATCTTATTTCTTATTCATTTAAAAAAAAGCTTTTCAAGGGTCAAGGGGGTGCTATGGAAACGCCTCACCACGGAAATGCCTCAAAAAAACAGACTCATAAAACATAGCACACCGGTCAAGGGGGGGGGGCTAAAAGTCTGAAAGTGTACAGGAGATTACCATTTCATTTTCATGGGACTCTATGCATATAATTAGTAAATCATACTGTTTTAATTAGACTTAAACAACTATTAAATGACTATGAGTAAATTTTGATGTTGTGTTATATTTAATCAACAGAGTGTACTGATCAACTGTTAGTTAGCCTGCGATAGGTCACAGGAGAGACATGACTCAGGGGATGAGTTGAGAGAGAGTACACAAAAACTCCGTCACACTTTTAATGAGCATAAAGCACAAATAGATTATAATTTGGTTTGGAAATCAATTCTTACTCGGGCTATATAATTTATAACTAGATTTTAGAAACAATTTCTTTTATATGGGACTAGGGGGGGGGTGCAAATTCGTCATTGCACCCCTCTTTCAGAAGAAAGGGGGGTGCACCTGCACCCTTGCACCCCCCCCCTGGCTACGGGCCTGGATATCCTGTAAACCATTTGTTCCTTATTTCTGTGCTGCTCAATTTGTAGTATCTGTAATCTGCGTTGAAGACATATTTCACACGACATACACACCTTTAGTATTTACTAACCTTAACAAAGAAATTATTCCATATTTTAAATTTAATTCAAAATTGAATCAAATATAAAAAATTAGAATTAAAACATTTTTTTATAGGGGAACCACTGCGAGGGTTTGCTAAAGATAGAAAAGAATTGATTTTGCAATATCTTTCTGGACTCGCTTCATCAGCAGTTTCCAACGACCAGAAGGTTGTGGAACACTTTTTAGCGGTGCGTATAATAGTAATAAAAATAACTATAGTAATGTCAATAACAAACCTAATAATAATAATTTAAAAAACAATACTTATCATAATGATAATGAATTTTATTATAGGCCCTCGGTGCACCAAGTTGTCGACGTGACCCCCTGTTCTATCTATCTATCATCCAGAAGATGAGAGGAGAATGGTATAACCAGGAAGGATTACAGAAACAAATGCTGTTTATGAGATGTGTTTACGAAAGTCAGGTAATCAGAGCTCCAGCAAAATAACTTTATATCAATTTCTCATAAATATCTCAGAAGCGGAAAGATCAGGCTTACCACTCTGCAAACTGCAAATTTCATTTATTTCTGAAGGAAGGGGAGTGGGAATATCTAACTTGTAGTATGAAATTATACATTTTCTTATCACTGCTTTGGTCTTCAAACTGAAAATGCCATTTGAATGAGAATGAGCTAAATTTGTATGTAAAACTTCCTTAAAAACTAAGAAATGTTAGATTATCAAATTAACAGTTTGATTATTTTGAAAAGCATTTTCCCAAACGACCATAAGCTAAGAAAAAGTTAGTTTTCTAAAAATTGTATCTTAGACAATCGGTTACTGGGAAAAGAAAATATGATTAAAGATATATAAAGTAAAAATCTTTTTCCTAAGGAAAAAAGCATCAAATGCGTTTGCAGTAAAAAATGCCTAACAACATGTTTTCCATAAAGGTTGATCATCTGACATTGTTTCCGTTTCCTGGACTCAAGATTATAAACATACGAGGAAACGCTCTGCTAACCCTGGATCTAATAATCATCAATCATTTTATTATTAGACTTCAGTCTGATAATAATCTTCTAGAACTTTCTCTCAGGTAAACAATTATTCAATTAAGCACTTTAATACTTGCACTATTTATTAGAATGATTCAATACAAATAGTAAATTAATAAAAAAGGATAAGAATCCTTGTTGAAATATTTAGATTACTAATTATATATGTCTAAAAAATCAAAAACCCATTGCAATATTTGTAGCTGTTTTACGTACATTGATCTTTTGGATTTTATTGAACTTCAACAAGAACCCATCCTTTCTCTGTGTTTTGAATGCGCTGCCGTAATCCAGTACAATTCCAGACTCCTCGTTTCAGTTCATTCTAAACAAAAGTAGAGATGTAGATACTGACAAATGACTTGAGTCTTTGTCACAAACTCAAATTTTGTAATCCTTATATCTTAGCAACTTGATGGTGCAAACCTTTGATATTTCAAACTTAGATTATTTGATCTGCCAGAATTCATAGTTTGATATATCTACGGCATTGGGTTGCAAAGATATAAGGATTAGAAAATTTCAGTTTGTGACAAAGACTCAAATCCTTTAAAAAGTAAAAAGTTGATTTACATAATGAATAGTATTTTATAAAAGCTTTGAGTTTTCGTTTCTTCTTTAAAATAGATTGATAATGTAAGCGCTTGAAAAAAAAACAAGAAAAATTAATCTATTTAATAACTAAGAATATCATTTGGAACCTAATCTTAACAAACATTGTTATATTTAAGTGAAACTGTGTGCTCCCAGTTCAAAGTGGGAAGGTATTGGCGATTTTCAATTTCTTAAAGCCGATAATGGACTGGTTATATTTCCACCTTAGACATTTTACTAAACTTTAAAAACCTCTTATGCGATTTATTCTTAGTGTAAAGATACCTTATTTGTCTGTGAATATTCCGTGTTCTCTTCTAATAGAGCAGTTTTATTAGAATCGTCGCTTTGTGTGCTTTCTTTTACCGAAGAAGTTTCTTCTGAGTTGTCCTTGGATGCATTTTCCTTAGACTGAATTATCTCTTTTTCTTTTGCTTTAGTTTCTGATTCACATTCCTCTAGTTTTGATTCTTTTTGTGTTGAATCTAATGCTACTTCTAATTCGCTACTTTCTAGATCTATTTTCTTTACCGTTACTAATTTTATATTCTCATTTTCTTCTTCATTGACATAAATTCCATTGTTTTCCGGTACTTCTTGATTTTTTCCATTTTCCTCTTCTATTTCTATTTTTTCAATTTTATCTTCTATTTGATTACTTCCAGTTTCTTTTTCTGGGTTTTCCTTTGCTTTGACATTTTCAACATGTTTTTTTAAAAGGCTTCTCATTTTGTCTCGTTTAGAGGTGGGGTTTGACGAAGAACCTTTTCATAATAAGATATATCATTAAAAATGTCCATAAATACATTTAGACAAAATCTAAATAGAAAATCCATTAATATTTTTAAAGAAAAGGGATTTCTGATGTTTCCTGAAAGCTCCCTTGCTTTTTTAAAATCTCTGTCAAATTGTTTAATGTGCATCTAATCATGTGTCAGCGACTTTACCTTTTTCAAACTTCTTCGCAGCTATCTCTATGATTTTAATTTCATGATAATGACCTAAACATATTTTATTTTATAAAATCATGTAAGTTACATTATTCTTTTCTGAAAATTTTTATTTACCGGTATTATTTTTTTCCTCAGTTCTTGCACACACATATCTAAAAAAATAAAAGATTTACGTGAAAAACATAAACTAGAGTAAATCTAAACAACATCTTCTTGAATCTTACATTCTCTTCGGTATATTTTTCTGGAATATGTGTTAAAGATAGCGAATGGGAAAGAACTTGTAATTATAATATAAAGAGTGCATGTGTTGTGTCAAAAATTCAAAAACAATGCTAGAAAGCATTTTTGAGGTTGAAATGTTTAAGAATTTCATGCATATACCAGAACCTATGTGAATGGACAAAATTTTATAAATTGTCTAATTTAGTCTTTACCTGTTCTCTGTTTTAGGTTCAGGTTTAAAATTCCGAGGTGATACTACTTTTGGAGTGTATTTGTATCTTTCTATCGGTTTGTCCAATTTCCTACTACATCTTTGTGGGTATTTGTACCTGCTAACACATAAAAAAAATACTTTTTCAAAAACTATAGAACTATTCTTATTGCTTTTCCAAATTATACCCACTTCTGATCTTTGATTATAATATTCTTCGATTTATCGGAGAGCAAACTGGTTTTAATCAATTCAGCTTTGGGTTCAGGAACTATTTTCCTCAGACTTCTCTCCGAAAACTATAAGTGTAATTTGAATAGTTGGAAATATATTGTACAGAAATGATATTCTCCATTATGCAAGTACATGATGCGGTCTACAGATTAAATAGTTAATTTTTGGCTCAAGAGTTTAATCATGTTTTAAAACAAAAGGGCAAAAAGTAAATGATCTAGAAATTCTAAATCTCTAAATAGTTGTTTAACTAAGATGAAGAATAAGTATTCAGTGTTTAAAATTGTTATTATCATTTAATCATGGAATTACCTCTAAAGTTTGCTGATACAGATTTGGAATATCCAGAGCTGGTCTTTTATAAAGAATCGAATTCTTAACTATATTTTTCCCTTTCCCCATACACAAATCAACTTCCTAGAATGTTTTAACCATACTTCTATATATAAATTTGGCTTGTCTGTTTGTCTGTTTGTCTGTCTGTTTGTATCCAATAAACGTCAAAACGGCTTAACCGATCGGGCCCAAATTTTTTGTGGGACATATAGGGACCCCAGGGAAGGTTTATGAATTGATTGAAATTTTAAAAATTTGTGTTTTAGAGGTTTATAATTTTGTGAAAAAATTTAAATTTTTGAAAATTCCGCGAATTTTTTTTTAAAAATCCGCAAAACTTTTTTAATCTTTGTTTTGAAATGTAAACAAAAAGAACATGTTCACAATTAAAATAGAAGATGGGCGCGAAGCGCCCTAAAAGCCTAGTACTTCAGAAATTTGAAACATAATCTACAAACAATGTTTTCTTCTTTTCAAAAACATTGTTTGGGTGTCTGCCTGTTTGTTTGTATCCAATAAACGTCAAAACGGCTGAACCGATCGGGCCCAAATTTCTTGTGGGACATCACATGACGACAGGGAAGGTTTATGAATGAACAAAATTTTAAAAATTTGTGTTTAAAAGTTTTTATTTTTAAAAAATTTTGAAAAAGCGCAAAACAAATATTATGAAATCCGCAAACTTTTTTTGTTTTTGTTTTATACTGTACAAAGAGAAGATGTTCAGAGACAAAGCCACAATTAAAAGTTGAAATAGAAGATGGGCGCGAAGCGCCCTAAAAGCCTAGTACTTCAGAAATTTGAAACATAATCTACAAACAATGTTTTCTTCTTTTCAAAAACATTGTTACATTTGCAAGGAATTTATTTATAACTTTGACAAATTGGCTATTATAAAAATATGTTAGTTTCTTTATTTTACAGATAAAATATCTTGGTTTCTTTATTTTACAGATAAAATATCTTGGTTTCTTTATTTTACAGATAAAATATCTTGGTTTCTTTATTTTACAGATAAAAACTTTTTAGTAAAAATATACCTTTGGTAAGGATTTGAATTCCCAGACTTTCTTTCGAAACACTTTTGGACTTAGAGCAATATAATTGCTAGCTTCAGTCGGTTCCTTAGATAAGGGACTACTTGCAAAATTTCATGTGACCATCCATTTATAGACTGGATTGTCCGATTCACAACAGTAACCTTAAATCCTTTTACTGATCAAGGATTTCGGACTTATCCTATTGATAGACAGAAATGCTTGTAATTGTAAAATACTTGATTTGCAGGCTGTGTTATATTTGATAACTATTTATATTTACTTTCTAGAAGTCATAGAAAACAAATATAAAAATTCCAATTTTGTGAAACCGCTTGGAACATAGAATTTTCGATATTTTAGAGGTATACAATAAAAATGCGTAAACTTCTGTTTTCAGAAAATTCAAACAATATTTTACAGCTTAACACAAAACGTTCTCTGGCCTTGGTGATCAGCTGAAGGTTTAAAGGGTATCGTTATAAATCGAGCATTGCTATCTTTAAATGCAGTGCCACTTCAATCTCAGCTAACAGTCCCTTTAAAAGTAATCGCTATGACTAGTCAATACTTTTTAATTTAACGAATAATCTTAAACATTACATAAAAAAAAAATTTATAAAGATTCTTTATTTATTTAATAAAAAATCATTTAGGTTATGATAGTTACAAGATTTAAAATGCATACTTACCATCGATATTAATTCTGGTTCCATTTTGACATTTCGATTTTCTTGAATAATTGGTTCAGATTTTTGTTCTTCATTTTTATCTTGCCTCTCTTTCTTCTTTCTTAATTTGGGCAAAACAGGTAGTTTTCTTTTAGTTTTCTCATATGGTATTTTAGATTTCTTGGGTTTTCAAATTTTGTGTTTCAGCAAAAAAATAAATTAATTCTTAAACTATTCTATTTAAAGAATGAGTTACAAGAAAATTAATATATTAATAAAGAAATTACATTTTAGTTAAGTAATTAGGAATTTTTTCGAAAGGGAAGGAACCATCGATCATAAGATGCATGTTTAATGAAAATGTAGAGTGAAATCACTCAGTAAAATAAAGTAAAACACAAAATCTAATGCCTTAATGTCTCTTTCTACAAAACCTCTAGTAAAGCTTAAATAAAAAATAATTATTTTAAAATATTTTTAGGGGTCGGGTAATTTGAGGTCCTATATAAATTTAAACAAACGTTAAGTAAAAATGGTAGAAGCTGTTCAACAAAAAGAGAGAATTTATCTGATTTGCATATTGATAAAGATATAATTGCATGTTCTATAAAAGCAACATATTTTTAAAACTTGTAGTTAAAATATCTTTAAACTAAATGTATATATGAACTTACATGAACATGCTTGATATTTCATTTCCTCTTGAAAAAGACATTTTATTTCAGAAAAAGAACTTGAAGTGTCTCAAATTAAATTCTATGTCATGTCAGATATATTAGATTAAAGGTACTGAGGTTCAATGATTAGTTTTTATCATGATTTAAGAAATTCAGGGAAACACATTCCGAACATGAAAAAAACATGGAAATTCAAATAACAGTTTTTTTCCGTTTTCTAGAGCTTTTTGGAACTCGATAAAATGAATTGTAACTTGTAAATTTTCGAACTGATAAGTCAGAAATAATTTTTATTTCCCCACGTTCCATAATCTTCTTATTGTTTCGATGGAGAATATTATGTTTATACAATTATTACATGATATTGTATATTATTATCTATATTTCAGAGACCAACTGCTTGAACCTAGTGGACTGCGTGCTATTCTGCCCTGCTTTCATCTCGTTCGAACAATTCGTCTGAATGGGTCTCGCTTTGATAATTTTTGTGTCAAGAAACTTATTGATATTGCGACAGAGGTAGTTTTTTTTTTGTTTTTGATAAATAATGAAAACGAATATTTTATTTAGTAAATGCTTAACCTTGATTATTGATACTGTAGGTTCGTGGAAATCTGAGAGAATTGTATGTTCATGAAATGAGCAAAAAGGTATCTAATATCTATTCTAACAAAATTATCAAAATTAACTAGAAAAGGGTTCTGAATTAGGAAATAACAATTTATTTTTTTTTCGTATCCAAATCAATTGATATGTACTTTTTACTTAGTAATCTCTTAAAATTTTAGATTGACGAAGACGCAGTTGAACAATTGAAGACAACTTGTAAATCCAGAGGAATTAAAACTAATGTATAATCTTACATTGTGATTTTTTTCACTGACATTTTTATGTTGGTTAAGTTCAAAATATTTAATTAATTAATTTCTAGAATTTTATCCTTCTTTTATCATTTTAATTTTGAAGATGTAGATGCATGGCAGTATTTTAAAATGCTGCAATGAAAAAACACAAAATATTTTTTTAATAGCTACTGGAATTACTGATTTTTCAATTTACAAAAATGCCAGTAAATAATATCACACAATACTTGGGTGCCAATTTTTCTACATTTTGATAGATGAATTATTCTACACATGTATCACATGCTCATTTATTAATAAATATATAGCTTGCTTCTAATCTCTCACTGTACAAAATTAAAAATAAATGTTTTTTAGTAAATTACAATGCATTGTTTCTGATAATTGTTAAGGTTCAAGTGAAAATAAGTATCAACTTTATTGAAATATGTTAAAATTATCAAAATAACAAAAAAAATATCATACTGAACGATATTATTCAAACTTATATGATATTATATTAAGCTACTTTTTGCAGCACTCTCCAAAAAATGCTATGGAATTTAATTATGTGTAATTCCGTTTTCAGCAAACAGACACACTTTTAATCTATAAATAGAATATGTTTGGCTTCTTTAGAATTTGCAAACATTTTGACTTTTCATCTATATGATAAAATGATGGAATCGATTAAATTTGAATCTAAATCAATAAAATTAAAATTAAAATAATAGATTTAGATTAGACTTTACATGTTAAAAGGAAAATAATAGATTTAGATTAGACTTTACATGTTAAAAGGAAAATAAACCTTGTATGAATGTCTATCCATAGAAAAATAAACAAACAATATTTCATTGGATTGAATTTAAAGTTCTTTAAAGAGAAGAGAAGAGCTTTAAACACATTTATGTCTATATCGTTTCATATCGGAGCAGTTGCAATCCTTCATTTTTTGACTTAGCCTTATATTCAGTTATCCTGTAGTAAGCTTTAAAATAATCTATACAGGTCTTTCAATCCGTATTCTGGCATAGTTGTCAAGGTGAAGAATATCTTTAGTTTCCTGCCATGATCCAAACCTTTGAGTAATCCAACCTTCTATCAGTATTCTAGGACCAGTAAATAATGACGATGTCTTGGTGCTGATTCCCAGGCGAGCAACTAGGGGGGGGGGCAAGGGGGGCATGATTAAGGGGGGCATGGTCCTCCCTTAAGAAGGCTTGCCCCCCTCTAACAAAATGTCTAGTTGCGCGCCTGCTGATTCTCCAGGTGTGAAAGCAGGAGGCAAGACGAGCTGTATGATCTGTTGAATTCATGAATCTTGAAGGTTAAAGAGATCAACAGGTTTTAATGATCATTTACGATCTTTTGATGTCCATCATTAATGACGATAATCTTGGGAGAATAAGGCAAGGTTGCCGCCCAAAATTTCCCTTGATATAGATCTCCAGACCTGGCAGAGATTGATCAAATGTTGAATAGTTTCTAATATTTCATGATCTGTGGCATAAGTAACTAATTAATTTATCCGACTTTCAAAATTTCAGAAGATCGAATTAGATTTGCTTATCACTGAAATATCAAATTCACGAGGTCTAAATATCAGAGAAAAAAACGCTGAAAAAATATGGTTTTATTGATATAGTTTAGATATAGGAGTTTTGAATTCAAAAGGTTGGAAACTTGAAATCTATGTACTAATTGAACATATTTTTACAAATTCGATCATGTTTGTAATAAAAACTGGTTTGTAGAAGTACCCAAATTTCATCCTTTTAAATCTCTAAAATTGTACATATTTTGTAAATTCTAATCTTTTGTTGATCTTAACGATGTAATAAGACTACGCTTCGTTTAATGACTCTTGAATCATGTACAGTTCAAATTGTTTATTTTTTATCTTAAAAAAGTCCAACGGACAATAATTGCACAACAACAATTGAAGTATGTAAAGAAATTCAGTCTTTGCCACAAACTCAAAGTTTATAATCCCATAAAAATATACAGACCAAAGTATTGCAATGATTACATCACGTTGGAATCTTCAAACCCAAGAGAATGATGTCAAACTTTATTTAGGTAAAAAATCTCTTCATGTCTCCGTAATGTTTGGCTAACCTTCGCGATAAAAATAAATAGCAAAATATTTGGCATACCTCTGCCTGTAATTTCCCCCATGAAATCAACTAGAAAAAGGACGAGGATTTCGTGGTGACTAGGACCAGAAAATAAGGAGAATGTGGCTTACTCGAGAAATTGCTGTGGTTGGCCATCCTTCCCTCGTTTGTCTGTCTGTTTGTTTGTTTTTTCTTCGTTTATTTTTTAATGTTTCCCACAACTTTAAACTTATTTTTTCTCAGCCAAATCATTAAATATAACATTCACGAACTATTTTCAAGATAGAAAAGCCAACTTCAGCCTTCAGATTTTCATAGTTAACCCTATCCTGGTTGGGCACTAATGTAATCAAGGCCTGCTCCTTAAAAAAACAAGACCTCTAACTTTAATGGTTATGGGGTGCAAATGATAATTTTAAATAAGTTCAAAAAGTATGTCGGATAATGTTTTAAAATAATTATTTTTAATTTTGAAAAATATTAACATATGACAAATATTATTTCATTTTTCAAGGGCTTTTCAAATATATAAATGTTTGCCCTGTAGCTTAATTAATAAAAAGTTATAAAGCATTTCTGATCTTTTAGAAACCTTTCCCCGGTTTTTAAGCATTTCTCATTTGCCAAAAAATTTCACAACTATGATTTTGAAAAAGTGAAAAAGTTTTAATCCAAGACGTTTTTAAGTTATTTAGAAAAAATCACAGTGCGTAAAGCTTTTGTAAATGATGCTGAATTAAAAAATCTAGGCAGGGGGGGGGGAATTTTTACAAAAAGTCGATATTGAATTGCAGATATTGTTACAGAGAGGGAGTGAACCCCCGGATTCCATGAGCCTCCGCTATGCAGACACGAGCCTCCAAGATGTGCTAGACTGACCGAACCTCCACTATGCAGACCAAGCCTCTGCTATGCATGGACCATGGCTCCACGATGCAGTAAACGAGCCTCCACCAAACAGCACAGCTTTTTTAAAATCTTGGTTTGTATATATAATGAAAAATGTTAACATTTTTTTTTTGACTTCGTGGCATAAGAGTTTTACTAAAGATTAGAGTTATTTATTGATTGTCATTATTAAAAACATATATGGACTCATAAAGTGGTTTATAAGATTTATACTAAAACTTTAAACATTTCCTAAGCAGAAAGAAAGATATTTGGAGAAATGTTTCTGGAGTAAAGGAATTGAGTCTTTGTCACAAACTCTGATTTTCTAATCCCTATATCTTAAGATCCCAATGTCGCAGACCTTAGATATTTCAAACTTTGGATTCTGCTAGAACAAAAGTTTGAAATATCAAAGGTTTACACCTTTAGGTTGCAAATATATTGGCATTAGCAAATATGATTTTGTGGATAAGATTCAATTCCTTTAGTTTGTTTTGTTGTAATCTTTGATTTAAACAATACCTTTTTTTGAAAAATGTTAAAAATGTTTAATATTTTATTTACCACTTTATTAATCATAATTAGGCACTCTTTTTGCTAATTGATAAATAGTTCTCATATTTGAGAAACCTCATAAATATGGGAGGCTCGTTTCTGCAAAACGGAGGCTAATGGCGTCCTTGGGTACCTTGTCAGGTAGAAGAATAGAAAAGGGAATTATTCATGTTTTATCAATAGTTCAATTCATCTTTCATGGTTCCCTTTCACACATTTCTTAGTAGCACACGTGAAAGAATTGTACACTGTACACTGTACAATACTAATAACAATTGATTTTTATGAAGATTAGAACAATATAAAAATGTCGTCATCTTACAAAGTGGCGTTTCTGCCCATGAGAGAAGGAACTCGCACCAGGTAATTCATGTGATATATACCCAGGCGGGCGGAGGGAGTAGGGACAACAAGGTGGGATGAGATCTAGGTGGAGTTTTTTTTCGTGGAATTTTTTCGTGTTATGTCTGTAATGTTATTAATCTATGGATAAGTTTATAATTGAATAAGGCCCACTTGACGGAAAAATCAGATACAATGTGTCTCAGATCAAATGAAATCGTGCAAGATTTTTTTAATAAAAAGAAAATGCAACAAGATTGAAACATTTTTAAGCACTTCATAGAGCTAATTGCGGATGCTTGTTATTGATCATTCTGTTTGTATTTTGGAGTTAACACCGTTGAAAAATGTCCAATTTAATATGGGGCGTTCTTTAGGTTATATGTAATATAAATGTAATACTGAGAAAATGTTTTCAACAAAAGTTTTGAAAAACTTTAAGGTTTACGATTGGGCACAAAGATCCTTTAAATAACGAAAGGTTTTCTGAAAATTATCGCGAAGATCCGTTAACGAACGGGAAGAGCCACTTGTTTAGTTCTTTAACTGAACTGGAATTTAAAGAATTTGAGCGGCGGTTTAAATTTAAGCCGCGGCTTAAATATGGTTGGTTCCACTTAAAAATGTATCAAATGTTTCAAGATTTAAGCCGGCGCTTAATTTAAACCGGGTTTTGGCTAAAATTCTTTAAATTCCATCTCTGATTAATTTAATTCCCTTTTGATATCCTGTGATGCTCATAATAACTTTAATTGAGGGATTAAGCATTAATCGTCGATTCAAAAGTACTCACATTGGATATCAAGATATGAGTGTTCAATTTAACACAAAAGATCCGATCTCTGAACGGATTAAAAAAAAACGTGCCCAGCCATTAAATGTTTCATATTCTTTAAGATAGTAAACATTAACTCGTAAACAGCCGCAAAGGATTAGACTTCAGAGATGATTGTGTACAAGTTACAACCTTTTCCCTTATATTTATGATTCCCTGAAACTGAAGACTTTTTTTTGCCTGATAATTGATAAAGAAGACTTCAAGGCAGAAGACTTAATTTAACCTCAGAATCGTCAAATTAAAATTTTTTAGGAGGTGTCGTCTTTATTTACTCTCAACCTTCGTGGGTAACCCTGTACATTGATCATGATAAATGTATTTAGAGTTTGGAAAGAAGGATTTGACCAGAGGGTTGGAAGAAAACAGGACGGATTTAAGTATGCATTGCTAAATAAACATATTCTAAACAAGATGTTTCTTCTTAAATTATGTTTTTTTGTAATCTTTAGACATCAAAAAATAGAGTGGGACATAGAGACAGAGAGAATGGAAGAAAAAAAGTTTCTGGATGATGATAAAAAGTTAGTATTAGTTAGTATAAGTTTATAAGTTTATTCTAAATAAACAGGAATAATATCAATTGATGGAAAACTTAAAAGTCGTCTTTGACCTTAGAAAAAAGTTTGGTCGAACCTAATTTTAGCAATGTTCATATCCCAAGTAATTATTAAAGCAAATATTTGGCAAAACACATTTTTGGAAATTGCCGGACAAAATATTTCCTAAATTAAGTTGCCGATAATTAATGACGACTTTTAGGTTATAACTCAATTGCATGATATCATTCCAGTTTATTAGAATAGCACTGAATCAAGAACACTTTTAAATTCTTTTACTGAACTGGTACAGCGCTTGTTAATGAATGATTCTTGATCATGGAGAAATGAAGTTGGGTTTGGTTCTAATTGTAATGCACTCCATACTTCTAAATTCTAATAGAGCTAGACTTAATTTTATAGAAAATTCCCTTCTTCCCTTAACACGCTCTTAAAGGGATTGTCTGGCTAGTCATGGTAGTTGAGCTGAGAATGCATTATTGTAAGACATGCTTAGGATTCTTTGAGACCTATGACACATTTTTCGGTGCATAATTGTTCAATAAGGGCGCAAATTAAACCATCAATCATCCTGGATTGTTTATTCTGTTTGTTTTAAATTATTCAATAAGGACGAAGAAAAATGTTACTCAAATTCTACAGCTACTTAATTAGTTGTTTAGGAACAGGTTAATAAACTGAAAATTAGCTGTTTTAATCGAAAATAAGGAATCTTATTCAGTTCTTGGTTTCTGTTTAAATTGTCACAATCTTCACAATCATTTATCGTAGATTTGAATGAAATTTTTAATCAAAAGAAACACACTTTGTTAAGGTTTGAATTCCTAGTTTTACCAACCACCAGACTTGAGAAGAAAAGAAAGATTCTTGAGAGAACTTATGAGAAGGTTGAGATTAAAAACAGAAAAAAATCTATAGGTATATTTTGAAGTTTATAATTCCAAATACATTTCGGTAAAGTTACAAACATGCCGCATGTCTCAACATCCTAATTATTTTAAAATACTTTAATTCCCAAAACTCTGATCGTTGTGTTTAGACAAGTTTAGAAAGCAGTTGTCGGCTGAAAATGCTGTAGAAATTGCATTGAAAAATCAGGTGATTTCTTTCAATATTTAACTGTGAACTAGTGTTTTCATTTTTTTTTAAATGGATGATTTTTTTTAAATGTTGAGCGTTTAAATATATTTTAGAATGAATATGAGAAGAACAAAGCTAGAAATTATAAAACAAATATTCAATTTCCAACACCATTATCAACAGTGCGAAAAAGGTAGTACTTACTTCTTACGCGTGTACCAATTAAAGTGAAAATTCATGCAACTTAAAGTCACAAATGAATGCAATCTTTGCACGAAAATTCCACGTAACAGAATTTTGACTGACCCATCTAATTTCAATCAATATTCTTAAATTACAATTGTATATCAATTGTTCAAGAAATTACAGAATCTGTGTAAAAATTAAACTATTTGTTATTAATATTCAATATAGATTTTATTTAAGAAAATATATTCTATATTCAGAGTATTCTCTGGAAAGTGTGAAAGTAGACAACAACCTGCTGCTGGGGCATTAAGGATAAAATCTGGCTGCAGGTAAAGTGTTACTCTTTGACAAAATATTTCCCTTCTTGTAAGGTTAATATATTTCTGAGAAGTAAAATATCCTCGTTGAAAGGAAGTGGATATTTATCATTTACAAACATGCTCATATGAAATGTACAATTGTTGTCGCAAAGGAACTTAATGTTAATGGTTGACAACAATGTACAGATCGAATGAAAAGTAGATTAAGAAGAAGAAGTGTTTGAGATTCTTATAATTGTTCAAATCTAGGGAAGAACCCGAGTATAAGTTTGGGAAGGAAGAAAACAAATTTATAAACAGGTAAACTAACATATCACGGCATTCATGATTTTTTTGCTATTTTACTTTTCTGTCCCTTGGGACGTATATGTTCTAATTTTTTTTCCTGGATTATCAGAAAAGAATTAAAATAAAACTATTCGAAATTTAGTTTAATAACAATATCTGATTTAGGACTCTTAATAATCAACTTTCTGACTTTTAAGCTGAAAAAGTATTGCGAGCTATTAAAAAAGATTCGAAAATTATGTTTAACCCTATCCCCGCTGGGGTACTTGAAAACCAGGATACAGGGGGTCAAATTGACCCCCCCCCAGCGGGAATAGGGTTAATAGCAATATCTGAAATAGGACTTTGGACCTTCCAGCAGATGTATTGGAAAAAATGAAGAATTTGTCAACGTAGGAATATCATATTGCACAGTCACACAGGTATAATTATAAATGGAGTCGAATTCCTTATGTTAATGTGTCGTATAGCTTTATCAAAGTACGACCCAAAGAACTTTAAATCTACCGTAAGCTTGAAAATTGTTTTTTTTGCCTAAAATGCTGTCTTTTAATGTTATATGTAAAAGATAAGTTTGCACACAATGAAAGAAAAACAAATTAAGCCACAAACTGAAATTTATATCGTCCATATCTTTGAAACCTTATTGCGTAATTCTGTGATATTCTAAATTTTGATTATTTGATCTAACAGAAATCATAGCTTGAAATATCTAAGGTCTACGACATTTGATTGCAAAGGTATAAGAATCGAAAAATCAGAGTTTGTGGCAAAGACTCAATCCTAAAAAAAAATTGTTGAGAACCAAGAATTTAAGAACACCCCAATCTAAACACATTTTATTAAAAACGTTGAAAATAACATTTCCTTTCGCTGAACTGTGTTTGTGAAATTTTAACTCAAGACTGAAAAAACAAGACATCCATTACGACTAAATGACATAAATTTATTCAGAGGAACCAGAATGTTTTCACAGAGCTGATACCTATATGGAAACTTCCTGACTTATTAGTTATTTGAATATATATGCTAATTGTGGCCGTTTTGTATAAAAAAAGTCAGTTTTTCACTTAAAAATGAGAAAAAAGAAACGTAAATAACTTTGTGGATCAATTTTCAATTTGCAACCTGATAATGAAAAATTGAGTGTCTTTACTTGAAAAATGGAAATTATGAAATTTGACAAACTCTCGATAAATATAGAATTACAAAACATTTAAACCCGTTTTTTTAAAGGTTGAAAAGAATTAATACATATTACAATCTTTATAAATAATTTCTGACTATTTGTATGTTGTATAGTACATCTAAAAATTATTTCTTTGCTTTTCTATACAGTTTTAAACATCAAATTCAATATTTTGATATTCTTGAAACAAAACTGTGCTTACAACTCTGTGACTACAGAATAATTCTCTTCTCTTAGTTCCAATATATCTGTTTGTCTGAAATGTGTCTTATTCTTGTAAATTTAAAATCAGTTTAAAAAACAAGTATTCCTGCAATAAGAAATATTAATTACATTTACATTCAATATATTTATATTTCTTGTCAGTAAATTTTTGAATTCATTTCATTTCAATAAACAACAAGTCGTACAACAGCCACAAAAAGATAGGTACTTGATCATCAAGCTCAAACTACTTCAGGAATCTCTATTTTATCAGCCTTTGAAAGTCTCTGAAGCAGGTTTGGTTGAAAATGTTCCAGATTCGGATTTTTTAATTGTTTACAGGCCATCAACCAACTTCTCCTTCTGCTTGAAGATATTCTTGAGCTCTCCAAGTGTAGACTCCATCTTCTCCAATGAGAATTGGTTTTCTCCTTCAGCAGATTTATCCTTGGCAACCCATTGGTTCAGTTCAGTAACAGTGTTATCCAGTAGAGTCCATTCCTTGAGAAGCGTATCAACCTTAGCAACCCAGCTATCAGAGACTGCTTTCACTTTGTCAAATCGCTCCTTGAGAGCGGCTACTTCCTTATCAGCTTCACCATGAGTTGTCATCTTCTTGGCAGCAGCATCAGCAGCCATCAAAACCTTCAAGTAGTTATCACAGCTCTTGGCAAATCCATTAACCTTTTCATTCAAAGCCTTGACCTCATCCAAGTTGGATGGTTTAGATAGTCCTTCGATGCAAGCTTTTTCCGATGTTCCCAACCAAGGAGTGAACTCCTTGATTCCAGTTCTGTACTCGGCCCAAAACTTGACATCCTCAGAATATTTATCACACTCTGCTTTAGTTTTAGCTTGAAGGTCTGTAACATACTTTGTAATTCTGGTGAGCTCATCCTTGAAGTCCTGAGCATCTTGGGGAACCTTGTCACCTTTAAAGTAAAAAATAATAGAATTTGTTTTGCTATAGAAAACAGTTAAAAGAATAATACAATTTAGAACAGGTTTCTCTTCAGGTGTTCGTTTGGAATTTGAAATAAAAGAAAATTTGCCAAATTAGATACTAATCCGTCAAAAAAAAATGTCAGGATATCTAAAGTTTCTAAACACATTAAATTTTTTTGTCAAAAAGTTATCAACATGGGCAACTAAAAATCACTGGCTTATGCTGCAGAGACAATTAAGGAGAGTGTGAGAATTAATGACTTCTTATTATAGAAAAATGACGAAATCTTCCTTATTGCTACTTGGATAGGTATTTGAAGGGTATCCTTGTGAATCAGACTTGTCAGTCTTTAAATGGAGGTCACATGAAATTACGACATCAGTCTCTTTAATCATTAACTTAAATGCCATTGAATTTAGCTTGTCAGAATTTAGTATTTAGACAGATCATTTGTATTTGATTTGAAAATATGCTTGGTGGTTTTGGATCATTAAAATTCAATTTTATGTAGTGAGAAAATTGGCTTCTTTTAATTTCCAGACTTTGATTATTTGAATATTTTAGGTTTTTAATTGAAAACGAAATACCTTGAGGAAGGAGTTCCTTTTCAGTTTCAGCATTCTTCACCAAAATTTCACATTTGGCAGCAATATCTTCCTGAAGATCCATAGTTCTTGCAACTCTGTCTTCTGGAAGCATATTTCCGCTTGAATTTCTAATATCATCGAGTTCAGAAGTTGCCTTGTCCTTCCATGCATCAATGGCTTTCAAAGAGCTGTCAAAGTTTTTGAGCTCAGTGCAAAATTCACCTAGTTTGTCAACCTTATCCTTGAATCTACCATTGACTTCAAGCTTTTCACTTACTGCCTTGATTTCCTTCTCAACTATTTTCTTCTTGTCATCAGGCAAGGTGATGCACATGCATTTAAAATTGGCATTAATGGATTCAAAGAGCTTGTTAATTGTGTTATTTGAGCCGTTGTAAATATCTTGCCTTTTTTTCAAATCGTCCAGGGCAGATTGAAGATTAAATCTTTTCTTAACTCTCTTGATTTCCTCTTCAGCCTTTTCAAACTCAGCAGCAATGGATTCATTGTTCTCGGCATATCCAACCCATGCATCTTTTGTTTCTTGGAGAAGCTTGAGTCTGTCTTGTGCCTTTTGTTTTGTATCATCCCAACCAATTTCAATTCTCTGTACATGACCTTCAAGAAATCTAGGTTTGTCAGGGTGTTCAAGAATCTTCTTGCCTTTGTCGATAAGATCCTTTACAACACCTCTTTTAGTCTCAAGCTGTACAAGTGACTTCTCCTGCCTTTCAATGAGTTCATCAACATTCTCAACACATGACGGGGCAATGTCTCTGGTTGAAGACATCATAATACCATCAAGGAATTCAATATGGGGCTTAAGTTCATCACCATATGCATAGCATTTCCAGTATAGATCTACCATAACTTGGGTTTTTGTTACAGTAGGAATGAGCTCTTCGTGCTTTTTTATTGTAATATCTAGCTTTTCTGTTTCGTTCTTTTTTTGGTCTTTTGCTCTCTCAGCCATTAGAATTTCAAGAATTTGAGCCAACCATTTCTTTACTTCTGCCCTCTCCAAATCTTTGCAAAGAGCCTATCCATCAGATTATTAATTGTACAGCAGATTTAAGCGTGGAGTAATTACTCAGGTATACACATATTTTTTCGATTATATCTATGGGAAAGAATATTTTAAATTGTATTAAATGTTTGAAAATATATTTACCTGATTTGAATAGACATTTTTGTGTTATTAAGTTACCTGCAAACAGCAAAGCAATGCATAGCTGAATGATACTGATACCTGTTTTGTTTGAAAAACATTGACGGACAAAAAACATACACAAATTTATTTTATGAGGGTTAAATACAACAAAGCCATAAGAGTGTGGTTATAAATGATTAGTCTTCTTTAATTTCAGAAATTTCCATGCTTGGCCATTTTGCGCGTTATGCCTGGAGCATAGTAATTTCATTTCTATTTTTTTAAAGAGAGACATCAGCCAGGTATAATTTTAAAAAGTCATTCATGTCAAATAAGACAGAGCAAAGGTCTTTCAAATTATTTACAGTCCTTCAACCAATTTCTCTTTTTCTTTGAAGATGTTCTTGAGTTCTCCAAGGGTAGACTCCATCTTCTCCAATGAGAACTGGTTTTCACCCTCAGCTGTTTTATCCTTTGCAACCCAAGCATTTAGTTCGGATACAGTGTTATCCAACAACTGCCATTCCTTGACAAGTGTGTCAACCTTCTTAACCCAATCATCTGCAATAGCCTTAACTTTCATGTACCTCTCCTTGAGTGCAGACACTTCAATATCTGCCTCCTTATGAGTTGTCATCTTCTTTGCAGCTGAATCAGCAGCTTCCAAAACCTTAAGGTGGTTAACACATGCTTTCTCAAATCCATGAACTTTCTCTGCCAAAGCTGAGGCTTCTCCAAGGTTTGATGGTTTAGTAAGTCCTTCAGTAGAAGATGATTCTGCCTTGATAAGCCAAGGAGTAAATTCCTTGATTCCAGTTCTATATTCAGCCCAAAATTTAACATCTTCCGAGTACTTGTCACATTCACTTCTTGTTTTAGCTTGGAGCTCAGTCACATACTTTGTTATTCTTCCTAGTTCATCCTTAAAGTCTTGAGCATCCTGTGGAACTTTTTCTCCTATTAATATATAAATTGTAAAATGAAAAAGTTAAAACTTGTATAAGAAAGGAATTGAGTCTTTCCCACAAACTAAAATTTTCTATTGCCAATATTTTTGCAACCTGAACATGTAAACCTTTCATATTTCAAACTTAGATCATTCAATTAACCAATACCATAGTTTGAAATATCTAAAGTCTACGACATTGGGTTGTTAAGATATAGAAATTAGAAAATCAGAGTTTGTGGCAAAGGATCAATTCCTTTGTATGACTTGATATTAACCTTGGGGAAGAAGAGCCAACTCTGATTCAGCGTTCTGTTTGATAATTTCCATCTTGGCAGCAATATCTTCTTGGAGATCCATTGTTCGTGCAACTCTGTCTTCTGGGGCCATTTTGTCGCAAGAATTTTTAATATCATCCAGTTCTTTAGTTGCTCCAAGCATCCAAGAATCAATGGATTTCAGTGAAACATCAAAGTTCTTCAAAGAATTACAGAACTCATCAATCTTTGTGACCTTTTCTTCAAATTGAGAAACAACAGTCAGCTTCTCACTAAGTGCTTTTACTTCCTTTTCAATAAGTTTCTTCTTATCATCAGGAATAGTTAAGGACATGACATCAATATTGTGCTTGATTTGGTTAAAAAGACCCATCACACTGTCTCTTGTAGCATTGAAAATTTCCTGTCTCTTAGCAAGATCCTCAAATGCAGATTGAAGATTGAACCTTTTCTTAATTTTCTTGATTTCCTCAAGACCTTTGTCAATTTCTACAAGAATTGTGTCATTATTCTCAGCATATCCAACCCAGGCTTCCTTGGTTTCCTGTAGCAACTTAAGTCTGTCCTGAGCCTTCTGCTTGGTGTCATCCCATCCTACCTCAATTCTCTGGACATGTCCTTCTAAAAACTTTGGCTTATCAGGATTTTCCAAAATCTTTCTTCCTTTTTCTATAAGATCTTTCACAACCCCGCGCCTTGTCTCAAGTTGAACAAGTGACTTCTCCTGCCTCTCAATGAGTTCATCAACATTCTCTACACAAGATGGAGCAATCTCTCGAGTAGAAGAGAGCATTATTCCATCAAGGAATTCAATATGAGGCTTTAACTCATCTCCATAGGCATAACATTTCCAGTAAAGATCTACCATAACCTGAGTTTTCATTACAGTTGGGATCAGCTCTTCATGTTTCTTTATGAGTGCATCCAGCTGTTCAAATTCGTTTTTTTTCTGATCTTTTGCCCTTTCAGCCATAAGAATTTCTAGAATTTGGGCCAACCACTTCTTAACTTCAGCTCGCTCTAAATCTTTGCAGAGAGCCTGGACATACAATAAGCGGTTTCAGAAACATAAACAAAAATCTGTTAGGTTATAGTCACTAAAACAATATTAAACACAAGGTTAGAAAGAATTTAATTAAAGTAAAGATAAAATTAGTAAGTTGGAAGTAAGTAATTATCAGATAATTACTGAAAGGGGTTTACAGGGAATCACACAACCTTTTAATAGTATACACCTTGTATTTCACTTTTTTTATTGCATCTTAAAGCCACTAAAATTAATGTAATTTCAAAACATAAAGTAAATCATAAAAATTTAAAATCTGCATATGAGTTCAATCAGCCTCTTCTTGCATCATATAATAATTGCAGCCTACAGATTCTCGACAAGTTTTTCTTTCTGTTTAAAGATATTTTTAAGTTCGCCAAGTGTGGACTCCATTTTCTCCAATGAAAACTGGTTTTCCCCATCAGCTGTTTTATCCTTGGCAACCCATGCATTCAGTTCAGATACAGTGTTATCTAGCAGTTTCCATTCTTTCACAAGTGTGTCAACCTTTTTCATCCATTCATCAGATACAGCTTTGACTTTGTCATACCTTAACTTCAATTTGGCCACTTCCTCGTCAGACTCTTTATGAGATGTCATCTTTTGAGCAGCTTCATTGGCAGCATTCAGCAGTTTTAAGTGACTCTCACAACTATTGGTAAATGTAGAAGATTTCTGATACAATGCTTCTGCTTCAGTTAAGTTAGTAGGTTTGACCAATCCTGAAGTTGATGCTTTTTCGGCTTGTTCCAGCCAAGGAACAAATTCCTTAATACCTGTTCTATACTCTGCCCAATACTTAACATCCTCAGAGTAGCTGTTGCATTCTTTTATAGTTTTTTCTTTTAAGTCAAGAACATATTTCTTTATTCTGTTAAGCTCATCCTTAAAATCTTGAGCATCTTGAGGGACCTTGTCTCCTTAAAAAATTAAACATTTTTAATCCCTTTCTAAATTTGAAACTTAATTTTCTCATATTTGGTTTTGAAATAATTACCTTGAGGAAGGAGTTCAAGTTCATCAGCAACATTTTTGTTGATTATTTGAACCTTGGCAGCAATGTCTTCTTGGAGGTCCATGGTTCTTGAAACTCTGTCTTCAGGAGTAAGCTTATCACTTGATAATTTGATATCTTCCAGCTCCTTAGTAGCACCAACCATCCAGCTGTCAATTGTCTTCAGAGAACTGTCAAAGTTTTTAAGGGAGTTGCAAAATTCTGAAATCTTTTGAACTTTCTCATCAAAAATTTTGACCAGTGCTAATTTTTCTTCAACTGGTACAAGTTCTTTTTTAAGCTGTTGTTTTTTATCATCAGGCAAAGTAAGGCACATGGTGCTATAATCAGTTTTTAATTGATCAAACATTCCATGGACTGTTTCTTTTGTTTTGTTAAAAATCTCCTGTCTTCTAGCCAGATCTTCAAAAGCAGCTTCAAGATTGAATCGTTTCTTTACTTTCTTAGTTTCTTCTTCACATTTATCAAATTCCTCTGCAATTTTTATATTACCATCAGCGTAACCTTCCCAGGCAGCTTTTGTATTATTAAGAAGTGTGAGTCTGTCCTGCGCTTTCTCTTTAGTATCATCCCAACCTATTTCAATTCTTTGAACATGAGAATCAAGGAATCTTGGTTTGTCAGGGTTCTGAAGAAGAACTTTTCCTTTCTCAATTAGATCTTTTACAACACCTCGTTTAGTCTCAAGCTGTACAAGAGACTTCTCCTGCCTTTCAATGAGTTCATCAACATTCTCAACACAAGATGGAGCAATATCTCGAGTAGAGGAGAGCATAATTCCATCAAGGAATTCAATATGTGGTTTTAACTCATCTCCATAGGCATAACATTTCCAGTAAAGATCTACCATAACCTGAGTTTTCATTACAGTGGGAATGAGATTTTCATGCTTTTTAATGGTAATATCAAGTTTCTCCAATTCATCCCTTTTCTGATCTTTAGCTCTCTCGGCCATAAGTATTTCAAGAATTTGGGCTAGCCATTTCTTTACTTCAGATCTCTCAAGATCTTTGCAGAGAGCCTAAAAAGTTTGCACATAAATAAAACACACTGATTAACACACTTTGAAATAATGATACACTTAAAAATTGTATCTTCGAAAAAATTATGGAACAAAAATAAAGTTAAGCCCAAGTCCAAAACATGTGTAAAGACAAAATTCTAAAACATCTAAAAATTAATGTTTAAAAAGAAAAAGGTATGTGTAGTATATTTTTTGTAATTTGATGATATTTGACCTCTTAAAATTGATAAAATTTCATAATCAAAAAGGTATATTCAGAAATCTAAAATTTAAAATGCATCTGCATTTTTACTATTGGTGTTCCCATAATCGAAGTACAATATTATCTATTAATTGGCTTTGATACATCTCCACTATTATAGATTGTCTACGAGCTTCTCTTTTTCTTTAAAGATGTTTTTCAGTTCGCTGAGAGTTGATTCCATTTTCTCCAGAGAAAATTGATGCTCGCCTTCGTTACTCTTGTCTTTAGCCACCCATTCATTTAACTCATTAACTGTTGAATCCAAAAGTTTCCACTCCTGAACAAGTGTATTGACTTTGTTCAGCCAAGTATCGGAGACTTTTTTGACACACTTGTATCTATTCATAAGTTCTGCAATTTGGTCATCTGCCTCTTGGTGAGTGGTCATCTTTTTAGAAGCTGTCTCTGCGGACTCAAGAATCTTCAAGTGAGCCAAACATTTTTTATCAAACACTTCGATTTTCTCAAAAAGAGCAAGGGATTCAGGCAGAGAACTAGGTTTACCAAGTCCAGCTTTGGATTCTGTTTCCGCGCTAATAAGCCAAGGTGTGAATTCCTTAATTCCAGTTCTGTATTCAGCCCAATATTTGACATCTTCAGAGAACGCTGCACATTCTTGTTTGACCTTATTCTGGAGCCCTAGAACATATTTGTGAATACGCTCAAGTTCTTCTTTATGTTCCAACGCATCTTTGGGCACTGAATCTCCCTGTGGTAACAATTCCTGTTCTTTAGCAATGTTAGCTTCAATAATAAGAACTTTTGCTGCAATGTCCTCTTGGAGCTCCATGCAAACTGCAACTCTGTCCTCTGGAACCATTTGATGAGAGTGGTTTTTAATTTTGTCCATTTCTTCAGTTGCCTTCTTCATCCAATCATTAAGGCTCTTGTTCGTATTGTCAAAGATTGAAAGGTTATTGCAAAAGTCTTCAATTTTCTTAACCTTCTCCTCAAATGTAGACAATACAGCCATCTTTTCAGTAAGTGCTGCCAATTCTTTTTGGACCAGATTTTTCTTGTCATCAGGAAGAGTAAGGCACATAGTGTCATAATCTGATTTTATTTTGTCATAAACAGCCTGCAGAGATTTCTTTGTCTTTTCAAATATTTGTTGTCTTTTTGCAAGATCCTCCTTTGCTGATTCTAGGTTGAATCTTTTCTTTATTTTCTTCATTTCTTCTTCAGCTTTATTAAACTCATTTTCAATAATATCCTGGCCTTCAGCATATCCCTCCCATGCTGACTTTGTGTCCTGTAATAGCTTAAGTCTCTCCTGGGCCTTCAATTTGGTGTCATCCCAACCAACAACTATTCTAGAAACATGTTCATCAAGAAATTTTGGTTTTTCTGGATTTTGGAGAAGGCTGTTTCCCTTTTCAATAAGATCTTTCACAACATTGCGCTTCGTTTCTAACTGCACCAATGCCTTTTCTTGGCGTTCAATGAGTTCCTCTACATTCTCAACACAGGATGGAGCAATTTCTCTCGTAGATGACATCATTATTCCTTCAAGGAATTCAATATGAGGCTTTAACTCATCTCCATAAGCATAACATTTCCAGTATAAATCAACTTGAATACTAATCTTCTGAACCCAGGGAATAAGCTCTTCATGCTTCTTAATCAGAGCGTCCAGTTGGTCAAACTCATTTTTTCTTTGATCTTTGGCTCGTTCTGCCATGAGAATTTCTAGTATATGAGCCAACCATTTCTTAACTTCAACCTTCTCCAAGTCTTTACACAGACCCTGGATCATACATTTGTCAGTAAAATTGAGAAATTATAAAAAAGAGTGCAAGCATAATTTTATAAAACTGTAAAGAATGGAATATAAACGGATCAATTTGCATGGCTTTAAGAGACAAAAATTTGAAATTTTCCCTATTCTTGAACCTTGGACAACACTAAATAACCATGCTTTAAGTTAAACTGCTACCAATGTCAGCCATGTTAAATGATTTTTATAAATCAGGCATTACAAATTACATATCATAAGACATTCAAAATAATCAAATTGAAGAAAGAAGATAAAATCATCATGCAAAATAGTGCTAAAAAATTTTCCTACAAAATTGAGTTAACAGGTAAGATCAACACTCAACATACAGTTAAGATTTATTACATTCATGATTTTTAAGAAAGAAATGGATTTGTGTTTGTATGTCAAGCAAATCATTGTTTATCTATAACATCAAAGTTGATAGCATAAAATTTTTGCAAACAACTAGGATTATTCATTAGTATAAAGAAATCAAGATAAAAATCACAATTTTAAATTTTAAATATGAAATTGCTTTCGTAATTGTCGAGATCTTTACAATCAAGTTACATAGCTCTTAATATTTTAGTAGCTGCAGGCAAACTAATTAGCAAGAAATAATTAAGCATATAAAATAAAGACGGACAATAAACATTGTTACCTAATAAGTTTAGCGAGCTTATCCGCGTCCCTTTGTTACATTTCTTAACGATCTTGAAATCTTATAAGTCTATTTTGTGTAAAGTATGAAAAATTTAATATTGTTTTCAAACATGTAAAGTATAATACAATTGTTTTCTTCTATTAATATATACCATTATAATACTACAGTCTGTCTGGACAGTACATTTGTTGTGATTAATCTTAAATTTCATTTGCGTCTCACTTAATTTGACAGCCTTCCTTTTTTCCCCTTGTACTATAAACTACTTTTTTATATGTTAGGGCAGAAAATCTTGATGTTTGTTGTTAACTTTTTACAAAACATGTTTCTTCATATTTTGTGATTTTCAACGTTTTTACAATTTATAATCAAATGAAGGAAACTAGTGAATCCATACTGATTCTGTAGAAAATTTGAACAAGCATCAATAAACCCTAATGTAAATACCATCTATATACAAAAGTTTATTAGGAGATTGGATCCAAAGGTTAATTAAATAATAACTTGTTTCTGAAATTGTAACTTTTTTTTTTGATTTTTATTAGTTATAATTTTTTATTTATATCCAATCTTCTTATGTTATATCATTTATCTACAAATGTATATGTGATGTGTTAAATTTGTGTTTTCTATAAAAATTAGGTGTAAGGAGTGCATGAAAAAAACATGCATAAATATAATCTAAAAAATCTTGTAAAAGTGGTTTATATACTACTGAGTAACTACTAGGGTTTAACCAAGTTTAAAAATCATGCAAAACAATAAAAAATATATGAACACAATTCACTTCACCAGTATTAATTATCTTTATAAAAGTTGTTGAAATAAGCTTATTAAAACTAGTATTTAAGTTCAGAAAAGGGGAAATTTTAAAATTGATTGGTAATTTTTCCGTTTTTTGCTTTTTATTATCAATTTTGCAGTTTGTATAAAAATGACTTACATGAAAGTTGTCTCTCTCCCTCTTGAACTCAGCGGACGTGTATACCTTGTCAGCCATGATACGAGCAATGGCCTAGAAATGTGAAAATTGGGAAAAAATTGATTATTAATATACAATTTATATTTGTAGGGCCGAATGAAATAATTTCCTCAAAATCTTTTTGCATATTTAAATTAAACTAAAGCTATGTTAAAAATTCATGACCATCAAAATATTTAGCAAATTATGGTCTTAGTTCTATTTTTTCAATAATTATCGCTATTACATTTTTTCTTTTTCATATTTCTCTAGCCATATGTCCAGCATAAGTGACAGGCGCAATACTTAAATTTTCGATGAGTGGACCTGTATAGTCCTTTTAAAAAATTGCAGTGGGAAAAGATTATCTTTTTGGCACGAGAATTCATTAGTAGGAATACAGGATAAAAAATTTAGACTAAAATGTACCCTACAAATTTTTACAAAGCAAAGTGAGTTTTTACCAAGTAAGTTTTTAAAAGTTTTTAAAAAGTTTTAAAGTATCAAAAATAACAATTCCTGCTTGTAAAAAATCAGGCACATGGTCTAATTCAAGATCTAACCTTCTCAACGTTCTCCATCCACTCAGCCATCTTCTGGTGGCGCATGTCGTATACATCCTTGATGAAATGGTAGTTTTCCTGCCAGAACGTCATCTTGAACTAATTCGAATCAGCTGCCTGAAATAAAATAGATTTAAGTTTACTGACAACTGCAGGAAATGGACAAAAAAATCTTTCTGCTTGAAAATTGACATTCATTTGAATGGAGTGCACAATTCATTAGTACAAATAAGCTGGAATGCGGAAACTGTTTCAAAATAGAGATATCTTCGAAAATGAAACCAATTTTTGATAAATATATACTGTAGTTTTTTCCACTCGGCTTGGATTTTTCGTATTGTTTTCTTACATTTTAACATAACTCTTGTACAAAGTACAAATAAAATCATTCCAAATGCCTATACTCGAGGTAGAAAATTTATCTCTCAAAGTCAGTTTGTAGTAAGAATAAACGGAATAGAATTTTTGTGTCTATTATAGCGATTAACGATTTTTTTAGATACTTTTTTCTGCATTTTAACTTTAAAAAGAGATTGGCGCAATAAACCAACTATATAGTATTTATATTAATATTTATTTATTTCTTTTTGAATTATTAAAAATCTGAAATTGAATTTTTTCCTCACTGATCTTTAGGTAAAAAAGGCTTGGGAAGTGTGAAAAATTGAATATTTAAGGAAATATCAACAGTAAAGGTGAGAAAAGGGGAGAAATATGTAATCTCTTAGAACAATATGCATACATGGAAAGCAGTAGCACACCTTTTTCCAGGTATACATTATACATTAGCCAAGGAAAGGAAAGTCAGTAATACAAAAATAGGATGGGGGGGCAGGCTGTCAAGGACAAAAGATATTTCCCCCAAGGATACGTTGTATTATAGCCAAAAATTACTTTTGGGAAAGATATTCAGAACCCAATTGGCTTAAAAATTTCGACGATTTGATAAGAATAAGATGTATATGAATTGCGACTCACATGTTCAATCTAGTTTTGGCCCAATAAATGTTTTAAAGAAAAATAAATGATAAAAAACGAAAAGATGACATTTAAGTAGAATTAGTGACGCTAATGGGCATGGTTCCGATTTATTTTTCGACTATGGCCAAACAAAAATTACTTCTTAGTTTTAATTTGAGGAGAACGTTTTTATTAAAAGAATTCTTCCGACAATTTTCGTGATAGTTCAGAGATCTTTATAAAAAAAAAACCCTTTGCCATGACTTAAAACACAAAAAACGTATCGCCGTAGTATAATATATTTGTTTTGGCTTTTCTTCTTTTCGGGGATTATTACTTGTTTTTAGTTGAAGGTTGAAATATTTATATGTCAAAATCGAAGTAAGTAAATCTATATCAAATATATACTGGGTGTCCCACATCAAATTAGACCGCGTCAATGGGTCTAAATTACGATTTGGGGGACAAATCAGAAAATTTAAGAAGAATGAATCATTTTGAAAAATTTAATAAGGCTAATAGAATTTTTTTCTTGCCGAAAATGCTAGATTTTTTGAGTATTATTTGTGTATTTTGGCGTTGAAACTTGGAGATAATCTAATATGATATGGGACGCTCAAGTTAAAGTCAAATTAAAATCAATCCAAGATATAATATAAACTAATTTCAATTTAAAATTCTTAAATAAATATAATTAAAATCATAAAATTCTTAGACACGAATTGAGTCTTTGTCACAAACTCAAATGGTCTAGTCGCTATATCTTTGTAACCTTTTAAACCTTGGATATTTACATCTTAGATTATTTGATCTACCATAATTTATTGTTCAAAATATCTATAAGGTCTATCACATTGGGTTGCAAAGATACGGGGATTAGAACATCAGAGTTTGTGGAAAAGGCTCCATTCATTTTTTAACGACAAAAAAACTTTCTTGTATATTGGACCTATTTTGCGAGTAAAAATAATTGGTACGATTCTTTTAAAATTGAATCAAATGCTTTATGAGATGTAACTGTCATTTTTATAAACATCAACATATTTCATCTTTTAATGTGGTTTGTTCTCTGCTACTTTGCTGAATCACCAAAAGTGATCAATTCGAATTGCAATTAATGATTTAATCATGCCTTTATTACAACTCAAAATGAAAACAATGGTCGATGATCAAAACGTTTAATTTGGCTAACAATTATTTATACATTTGAACATTTTCATTATCATTTTTCTTAAATTTCTAAACTTTGTAGTTATTTACCTGAGTGGGTTGGTATGAGTATCTGCCCCAGCTATTCAGGACACACTGATCCCTATATTCTTTTGTTCTACCAGGTCAAAATGACCGGCCACTCAACAGCCTGACCTAGCCAGCGACCAGCTTGCCTGACCCGCCCAGCTAGTGTATACCTGACCTCTAACACAAGCAGGTTTAAATAAAATCTCCATTATTTTAAATTTTTGAAAATATTTTTGATTTTGGATATTTTTGACAGAATTTTCAGTTTTCATCCTTTTAATTTTCATGGTATATACATCCCTGGTTACTATTCTGGCGGATACAATACATTCTTGTTAGTAGATGGGGGCAATATTTGGAAATATTTAGAGAATTCTCGAAAGAATAAGCTTAAAATCAAAATTATTTGTCAAATATGCAATATGTGTACTGTGAATGCGTGGGAATTCAGAAGGGGGGGGGGGTGACTATGAAATGAAAATTGATAGGTTTCAAGATTAACAGTTGATATTGCGCAGCGTTTTTAATTTATATATTTTAAAATATCAACTATATACGAATGCGTCGAAAAAAGGAGGAGAGTATAAAATTTGTTGTAAATTACGCTTGTAAAGTACAGAGAGTAGTGCGGAAAAAAAGAGAATGGTAATGGAGGTTAATATAGAGTAGCACTAGACAAGATAGTATCAGGGAATAAAAGAATAAGACGGAAAGTTTAGGTTTGCCAGAAATAATGGAGAGGAGAAAATTAATAACAAGGAACTGAGTATGCAGAATTGTGTACAAATTCTTTAGGATTCATTTGAGACATATTAAACTTTTTAAAGATCTGTAAATCCACAGTTTGATCGCAAGGTCGATATTCAAAATCGTTCTTTTGGGTGGATACGTTTTCAGAATTGTTTTTTTAAATTATTAAATAGCGACAACATGTGAACACAATTCTAGAGTAAAAACACAATTCTAGAGTAAACTAATTAGTTGTTTAGGAACAGGTTGAGAAAATAAAAATTAATCTTATCATCGAAAATAAGTAATCTTATTCAATTATAGGTTTCTATAATCTCTCATTATTCACAAATATTTTCTGTAGATTTTTTGGAATTTTTTTTTAACAGAATTTGTAGATATCTGCAAACAAATTCATAGAAAATAAGAAATTCAATATAATGATGAAAACGAAATAATTGATTCTGACATTGATTTATTGACAAATTTCTTTTGAGAAATATGTTCCTAAACCACTAATTAGTTTACTGTATAGTTTTGACTTTATTTTTCGTCGTCGTTATTTAATAATTTAAAAAAACAATTCTGAAAACGTACCCAACCAAATTTATGATTTTGAACGTCGACTATGCACTCAAACTCAGTAATTATACATCGTGGAAACGTTTTAAATGTCTCAAATGAATCCTAAAGAATTTGTCCACTACACTGCATTCTGCATATTCACTTTAACTACCTTACATAGCCGGTCTGTCACTTTAACCAAATAAAAATATTCTTCTTTAACTTATTTACCCTTAGGGTTTCCATTTTTCCGGAAAAAATTTCCATTTTGGAAATGGAATGATCCGGAAATTTGTTGCGTAAACCAGAATTCCGGGATAATTCCGGTATAAATGGAAACCGGAAATTTTCCGGTTTACGTCACGTAAACCGGAAAAAATTCCGGTTTACGTCACGTAAACCGGAAAATTTCCGTTTTACGGAATGGAAACCATAAAATTTCCAGTTTCCATTTCGTAAACCGGAACTTAAAGAATTTTTCTTATTTTAATTAAATTACGTAACGATTCGTAATTCCGGAACAACGTTCCGGAAATTTCCGTTTTACGAAAAAAAACGTTCCGGAAATCGTTCCGGAATTCCGGTTTTCCGGAACCTTTTCCATAATGGAAATGGAAAAAATTTCCGGATCATTTCCGTACGTAAACCGTAACCCGGAATTCCGGTGGAAACCCTATTTACCCTTGTTTACTAACATATATTTCTCACCTTTCTTGTCAGTTAAGATATTTTGAATTACATTGACTTTCTACAATTGAAATAAAATTCACATTACTACTTCTACACCAATAATTTACCCTGTGAATTACTTGGCAAACTTTAATTAATTTGCCATTTTTTCTCGCAAATATATACTCTTAAGAGATTTATACGCAGATATACTTTTGCAATACTAATTTTCACAAGGTATGCAAACACTGCCTAAAGCAGTTATTTATTGTTACGGTCAGACTCTATATATAACCTTCACCTGTCTAGTGTCCCCTACCTGTAGAAGGTAGAACACCTGACACAGACATTTCTTTGTAATGGGTTACTATAATATACCTGCTGTTATTTCACCCAAGCGTGGGTTTTGACCGAAGTTTATATCTTCCCCCGAAATATTTTTGAATGTGAGGTGTATAATTACAAAAAATGCTATGTTCTATTTACTAAGAAATTAAGTCGTTGTCACAAAATCTGATTTTCTAATCCTTATATCTTTGCTGCCCAATTTCGTTGACCTTATATATCTAAATCTATGAATTCAGAGCTGGGAACTTTAGAATGGTGGATATCGGGATTAATGCTTAATCTCCAGATTAAATAATGCTTGTTCTCCTCTCGTTATTAATCTCCAGATTGATTAATCGATAGGGATTAAGAATATCTCATTCTAAAGTTTTCAGCTCAGATCAAATAATCTAAGTTTAAATTATCAAAGGTTTACACCATCTAGTTCCAAAATATTGGGATTAGAAAATTTAATTTAAACTTTAACTTCTTTCACAACATTTTTTTATTGAAACTATAGAAAGAGCCCTCGAATTTGGTCTGAAAGAAATCGGGGCACTGTTTTTATTGCATTAATAAAATTAGATCTGTGGAAAAAACATGTTCAGAAAGAATTAATCGTTCTTTTTGAGAAAAGAATAGAAATGTATCACTAGCATCTGAATATATAAATTCTCTATTAAATTTCAGTGTAAAAAAACATATGACTGGTCAAATCTAGGAGGGCCGCATTGACGTCAAAAGTCTAATTTTAGCTTTGACGTTAGGGTTAACACAGTGTGTTAGAGATTATCTCACAATTTACCGAAGCACAAACGAATCAAGCTCAGCTTTCTTTTTACTTTCAGAAAATCGATGGGGCATCTCATGATTAGCATAACCGTTGATAAGCAGGGGCATATCTTTTTTTGCTGCACCCCCTGCAAGTATTTTAAAAGAAAATTTTGCTCCGGGGGTCTTAGCTTACCAGCCTCTTTCCTCTTTCCAACTTTCTATTAGTAATCAAAGATGTGATTTCCTTAATAATTCGAGCAAAATAACCTTTGATTGGCATTGATACAAGAATGTATCTCTTGACAGTTTTTATAAAAAAAATAATCATTATAAAACGATAATCTCTCAGCTTTGTTTAGTTTATAAGCTTTGATCTGTCTAATACTGCTTTTCATGTTTAGACTTCTAAGAAGAATGTATTTACCAATCCATTTTATCTCTGCATATTTTGATAAACAAATAGGCCTGGTATCTCTTCATTTTTATACATCCATGACGTGTCCTCATGACTACTATAAAATTCCTGCTATTGCTCTGTTTCAATAGTTTTACTAATAAATAAATTAGTTATAAGAAACTTTCCAAGAAATGTCTTTACAGGAAAAACGAAACTGGGAGGTGGCCACAAATTTTATCTTTGTAACCTGATTGTGTAAAACTTTGATTTTTTTTATTTGGCCTATAAAAATTCTTATTTTAGAATATGAAAGGTTTATAAAGAATAAAAAACAGAGATGGCAAATTCCTTCCAAATAAAAAAAACGAAAAGTTACATTTGTTTTAAATATAGATGTACTCTCAAACCAATAGATGGCTGTCATGCTGAGGGAATAAAGTCCTACGACTCGTGTTTAAAATTACCGGAATTTTGAGAGAAAAAAAATGTTGGATAAGCGTTGTTTTGTAATATCATTTCACGCAACTATCATATGTTATTATACAGGACAAACTGTGTCTTGTCGGGTTCTTATATTTTCTTGTTTGTTTGAGGTTTAATTGTTTAAGTCAATTTCTTGAATTCAAAATGATAACAAACAAGAATGTACAACAATTACAGTACAAAACATATTGTTGAAAAATTACAAAAGTTTTATTCAATCAACATCAAGCAAGAATATATATGTACGGCTATTGAAGAAACAATATTTTAATAAAGAAAAAACTTTACTTTGGGAGGGAAAATAAGTTTTTTTTCCTTATTCCTATAAATGCGTCATTTACATTATAAACCCTCACTTTAAATTACGATATCAAAAAAGTTGGATGTCTGCCAAATAATAGATTTTTTTGTTGAATGTTATCGATTTGTTATCACTTATTTGTCAGCAATCCAATTTTGGCTGCCAAAGAATTGCAACTTTTTTTATTTAGAAAAATCGAGTGGTGGATATACCTTATTTGACCCAGTTCTAACAATATTTATTTATTAATAATGTTTGCAGAACTTCTCTGATCTTCATACTCTCAGATAACTAAAGGAAAGTTTGAGACAGATACAAAGGTTGTTTGCTGTGTACTTAAATCTTATCTTAAACATTGTTTGCATATTAAATATCTATAACATTTTTCAAACTATGGGTATTTGTGATGTCAGCAAAGCTTTTAAATGTAAACCACAGCTTACAAAGCTTTAAAAGTTTTTACTTTTGTGTGAAAGCTGACTATGAGTTGATGTATGAATATGTATATGATTTGATTCAATAATATAAAAAAAGAATAACAATACTTTTTTATATTTTTTATATGAGTGAATAAAATTGTTCAATATAACCGAAGAGACATAAATCGAAAAAGAAAGCGAATTTAGATTGGTGCAAAAATGTTATTTATTTTACAGTACTTTTAATATCCCAATATTTAAACAAACACAAAGTCTGCAAAAATGTGAGCGGTGAGTTTTTAAACATTAAAATAATTTCATAAACAGTTGACAGGACGGTTCTACTAAAACCACTATATATAAAACTGTACTGCAACTTCAAGGGGTTGGTACACACACTCAACAGACAGACAAACTGGTACAACTGTGCGACCTGTTTGCACCGCTAGTTCTAATTCTAAGTACAAGAAGGAGTAAAATCAAATTTATTTGGTTAATTTTTTGAAATTTTAAACACCTTGATATTCTTAATAGATCTTTATAAAAGCCATGTAAGATTTCAATTCTCTATGTAATTTTCTAAAAGGGTTATCTAAATATATACAGATGTGATTAGCTAATGGCACTTTCTAAAAGGAAAGTCGTACAAGTTACTAGAAAGATCCATTTACTAACTCTTTAATGGTATATTCAATAAAGTATAATTAGTTTATTTCATGCTTTGTTCACCAGCATTGTTTTAAATCTATACATACATATACAAACTATAGGCAAAGGGGAAAGCTTAACTATTGTTTTATTGTTGTATTGTACATTGTATTATATACCTAGAATAAAATTCAAGTCTAACTATGTAGTTTAGCCGTGCTGGCAAATAAAAAAATATATCCTTGATCCAATTTTTCAAGTTTGGTTAAAATTCTGAATTAGATCATCTTGACTTAATAAATGTTTCAAAGCAAAAATTAAAAGAACTGAATTTTGTCACAAACTCAAATTTATTTTCGAATCTATTTTCGAATCTATTTTCTAATCTATTTTCTAATCTATTTTCTAATCTATTTTATAATCTATTTTATAATCTATTTTCTAATCTATTTTCTAATCTATTTTCTAATCTATTTTCTAATCTATTTTCTAATCTATTTTCTAATCTATTTTCTAATCTATTTTATAATCTATTTTCTAATCTATTTTCTAATCTATTTTCTAATCTATTTTCTAATCTATTTTCTAATCTATTTTCTAATCTATTTTCTAATCTATTTTCTAATAGTGATGTTTTAAAAAGATTAACTATTTGATTTAACAGAATTCATATTTTGAAATATCAGAGATCTACAACATTGGGTTGCAAAGATATAGAGATTATGATATCAGGGTTTATTGCCAAAAAACACAATTCTTTTGCCTTTGGAAATAGTAACTGCATAACTATAAAAACTAAATTATTTTAAAAAGTTATCTTAAATTTTATTTTATTCATAAATGGGTAGCAACTGTGAGTGTGACTAGAGGGGGTTTTGTACACCAATAAGTAATAGAACCTATAAAGAAGAGGAGCTGGCTGGTTCTTGTACCATAATCCAGGAATTCAAATTTTGGCTCATAACCTTTTACCCCTTTAAAAAAATAGATCTAGGTTTTGGATGTCTTGGTAGTGAAATTTGATCTAACCCTTAATTATTATGTATATTTCTTAATTGGGAAAGGTACTTCCATGGAAGTGTCTATAAATTAGAGTGCTTACACCATAACAAAAAACTAAATTCACAAATGTTTAGAGAAATGGAGAAGGCCAAAGATTTTGAGAAAAAAAGAAATCTTTGCGAGCTCGGCCTGAAATACACACAGGTTTCCAGTGCCCACGGATTTTCCTTTGTTGGGAACACGGAACTTCCCTGGTAATTTTTATACTTAAGTTTCTTTCTATTTAATACAAAATTTTTAAAGTGAGTAAAATCAAAGCAAGAAAATATCAAGATGAGTACTTTTTGTCCCATACATTGCGAAAAAGAATTTCATTAATACAGTGTCACGTGGATTTAACGGTTCTGTTAATATTCCAGAAAGCTGTGACTTTCGACCACAATCTGACCCATGAAACATAATTTCTTAATCTCTTTTCTTAATTACTTTTTTTGTTGGCACATGCATTTTGAATAAAAATGTATAAAATAAACAAATCCGTAAAGTAAATGATTATTGAATTAAAGACCAAAACACTTTTGATTTCAGTAAAAACCAAATGCTGCTCCCTCTGGTTAGTCCGGCGTGGTTTACCCTAATAAACATGAGAATTGAGCGAGAAAAAAAGAATTAAATATTCTTATAGAATGAAAATCTGTTTCTTACAAATCGAAAACTCTTAGATTTGATATTTCCAAAATGTGATGTACCAATTATGAACCTTTTTAGTTTATGATGAAAACAAGGGATTTTGTCCCAATATTTCTCTATTTGGAAAGCGCTTATTTGATACACTTTGGGCCATTATTAGCTATCCGATATTGAAGAGGACTGATAAAATATCGTTTTTCAATTAAAATATTTAATATTTTTTGTTTATCTTAGGTATGATCGCTTATTTTGGTTCTTCATTGTTATTGCATTTACTATTATCTCTGTTTATATCACAGTCACGGTAAAGTATATCTCTGTTTATATTACAGTCACGGTAAAGTATATCTCTGTTTATATCACAGTCACGGTAAAGTATATCTCTGTTTATATTACAGTCACGGTAAAGTATATCTCTGT